TTCAAATTTTTACCAAGTGTGAATGGGGTCAAAATACAGGTGCAGTTAGTAGATAGGCAACATCGGTTCATTGGGGGGACCGGTGGTGGGTCATATGGGTGGGTCGGCATGTGGGCATGCATGTGGGTGGGCATTTTGGTATTATGCACCAAAATTTCAAAATAGTCGTAGAAGGTTGAAATTTGGCAGAGAGGTCCCTAATTGCTTTAAATGAAAGATTGCGAAGTCACATTATAAAAACCTACAGTGTGCAGTGTTTAGCTTTTTTTATTTAATTTTTATTTTTCAAAATCCTTCAATCACCCTGAAATTTGGTTTCCGGGTTGCTAATGTATTTTATGAAACTATTTTACGAACTCCACCTGTATTTTGATCCTATACACACTTGGTAAAAATTTAGGCCCTATCGTGTCTCAGACAGACGGACGGACATGACGGTTACATAAGCCCTGACTCGGGCTAAAAAAGGATTATTTTCATTTATTCCACTCAACAACGAAAAATTGGTCATACCAACGATAAAAAATATTCAATGTCCCCAACTCCACAATTTTGAATTTTTTGGAAAAAAATTTGTCTCCTGAGTCTACCTGTATTGAAACATTTCATTATATTGCTAACGGCAACCCAAGTATACTTACCTTGTATTATATTATAAAAAACTGTCAAATTCGATGGACATGAGTTAAACACATATGTATAAATTCCCACAAGTAAAATTAACATTATTAAAAACAAATTTTCGGAAAATATTAAAATTATTGCCGAAGAATAAAAATTCATAAAAAATTTAATTAACATGAAAACAATCGAGACATTATTTTTTAGCGATGTAACCATTTTGTCCTATGATACCTTACAAGTTGCGTAATTTACAATACATCTAGAATCCGCCATAATATTGGTACGACGGCTGTATCGTTTTTGCACTACAAGCCAAAATGTGCGAATTTTGAAATTTTGAAAAAAATTCGTCTAAATGGACTCAAATATCGCTCGAAATCGGTGCTAGAATTATTTTGGACTAGTATTTGCACCAGTGTTTAAAGTGGTATTTACCAAGTGGTATATACCACTGGTAAAAAGTGGTATTTACCGGTATTTACCACCAAGCTAAAAACTGGTAAATTGGTATAAAGTGGTATGAAGTGGTATAAACCTCTTTGGGGCATTGTAAGACAAATTTTTCCATATAAAGTTCACAGTAATTTACAAAAACAATTATTTTACTGTAAATACACAGTAAATATCCTCATTAGGTGTATCACATACAATTTGACTAGTCGAAGTAGTACCATCTATAAGTGCTTTAAATGATTTCAATTTCACTGATTCCAGTGTGTACTGCTATCTGTTAATTGACGTAGACCTTCATAATTAATTTAGCTTGGTTTGCAAGAAAATTCAACAATGTCAAAATACGTAGAAAATATACTCACTACGGAATCCGTAGTACGGATTAGTAGATGACTATAAATATGTACCTTTAATTTGTTGAGTACGCTTTATTAATTTATTAGAGAGAAATGCTTATGAAGATTAGAAATATTATGTTCAACTACTTAAGTCTGCACTTACTATTAAAAATATTATTTAATTTAGCTTTCCCTTTAAATTAACCAATCATGAGTTTTTACCACTTGATAGCAGTTTATACCACTTTTTACTATTTTACCACTTTTTACCACTTTTTACCACTGTGATGGTAAAAATCAACCAAAGTGGTAAAATTTAAAACACTGATTTGCACACTGTATCGAATTTTTACACCTATTTGGTATATGAGCGAGGTTTGAGAAATACTCGAATTTCACCCCATTTTCCCCATAGTGATTCCACAATCAAAGTGTGGAAATTTATATGTGATTTTAAAAAGCACTAAAAAAATAAAATATTATCTACGTTCCGAACAAAATTCTACTATCCGGAGACCCCGTAATTGTTCATTTTACCAAGAAAATAAAAGTTTTGACAAATATTTGTTTTGTTGTATTTGTATTTGTAATTTATATTATTGTATTGCTAAAATTTCTCATGAAGGTCAGAATATATGTTAAAGATTTATTGCGGAAAATATTCTATTATTACACACATTGCATAGACTGTGTCATGTAGGTTAGATATGTAATACATATCATGTATACCGTTAGGGCTGCACAACTCCCTGGGAGTGATAATAAATTCCCGAAGTTTTGGGAATGGGAGTTTAACATTGGGCATATGGGGGAGTAAAAATAAACTCCGGGATTTTTGAGAGTTTTAAAACTCCCAAAACTCCCAGGGAGCGAGGAGCGGTACAACCCTACAGATAATATTCGGATTCTTTTTGGTAACCTATATTTACATTCTCTAAATTAGAATACAATGCCCATGAATTTTATGAATTCATGGTCATCATCTCTCTCTCACTGACCTTATCCCTTCTTGAACTTTGAAGGCTGCGCAAGAATAAAATTAGCCCTTCGTCACCTTGGCCTCGTACCTCTGTAAGATGGAAATACAGATTGTATCTGTTCATCCTCATCATTTTCAAAAAGACGCTTGTCCGTTGCAGATTGGAGACATTTAAAGTTAAAACCAGAAAGTAACAAAGTTATAAAACACATAAAAAAGTCCAGTTTTTTGTAGGTAAGCAACTTAATACATTACTGAATAAATAGATAAACAGTTTTAATTGTCATTTTGAAAATAATTTAGGCCTTTCTGCAGAAAATGATGAACATCGGAGCCCACTCTAAGATACAATGTTTGGCAACAGCCCTGTTTCTTGTCCACTTATCTCTTTCCTGTCATCCCCCACCCCCCAACCGACCATCCTTAGTGCCAATACGCTCCCTCCAATTCCAGGCTGGGGATGTCATAACATGCGAATTAAATGCGTATGCAGATCACGTCATGTTGGCTACCTCGGCGGAAGACGTGGTCCACGTCACGGGAGGACTGTTTAGAAGTGTTGCGTCCTTAAGAGAAGAACCTTTTTTTACGAAGGCATCCCTCAAATACAGATCATGCCAAGTGGACACTCCCAAATTTGATGGGATGATGCGCACAGAAATGGCAACGATCAGTTACCCACCGCAGGAGGCGATAAGAAGGGCCGGACATAGTTTGGATATCTTTGATGACCGCAACGGAAACGTGTACTATGATTTGATGGCATGCAATTGCGAGCATTGGGTCAACTTTTGGAAATACGGGAGGGCATGGAGCTTCCAAGCTGGGACGGAGAGTAATCTATTGTGTCATGTTTAATGGTTGTTTTAGAACAATAAACCATACAGATTAAATACAAGATTAAAACCGATATTATTTATTTTGCTGAATACATAAGGATAAATAAAATTCGCAATTTTATAAGTGTTCCTGCTTTTTCGTTTTTCTGTCTTTTTGGGCTTGAATTTAGTATATACATGTTATGGTTGCGGGAGACTGGAAAATTTGTTTTTAGAATTTAATATCATTTAGTTTCAAGTACTTAGTGCTTAGTACATTGTACGACCACATGATGTGACTTATCTCATAAATCTGGGCTAATAAATTAAGTAGTAATTAGTAAATTATATAGGTAAGGACATTATTCTTCCTTCGTTATGCAGCTAGTATGACAGTAATTAAAACTCGTCCAATCGGGCAGTGTTCACGCAGGAGAGAATGCTCGTAACGATAGAATGCACTTATTAATTGGAATGATCATTCCGAATAAAGAAAATGACAGAAACGAGTATTCTGCAAAAGCAATGTATGGTTTAAAAGGATACTCTGTGTGCCCAGATGAGAGAAAGCGGCACAATAATTTATCCAAAATCATCGGAAGGCAAGATCAAATTATAGTTTCAATTATTTACATATGTCTTCAATTAAAGTGTAGAAAAATTCCAACAGTTTTGTAACTTGATCTGTTATGGACACATTATTAAATAGTATGATTTTAATCGTAACTTTATTGCCATATATTTATAATTTGTGAGTGCTCAGAGAATGGAAATGACATCAGTATAGCATTGAATTTACTTCGCTACATTATTCGGAATATATAAACTTGATCGTTTTAGAATTATGTATATACACTGCAAAAAATTACTCAGTCATTGAACGCGATAAGTTTTGCTACCAGCATAAGAAAAATAAGATAAAAACATGGGCTAAATTCTCCAAACCCCATAACCAATCTCCTTCTGATATTTACATACTACAGAGATTATTACAAGTTAACACATTGCCAGTACTGATTAAATAAAGTTTAGGAATGGAGTTAAATAGATAGTGAATGTAGGGTTCTACATTGACAGTGTCACCGACTTAAATATCATGTCATGTCATATATATCCAAATTTGTCATAAATGTTATAATGCACAATTCATTGACATTTATGACATTTATGACGGACAAATATGACATTTATGAATGCCAAAATGACATGACAAATGACAATGTAGAACCCTAAGTGACGGATAGCTTATATAAACCATATCCCATATACATACAAGTATTGTTATTGGCAATATGTGTGTTGTAAATTGAATGTGTAAATTCCGGCTACAAAATTTCAACGAAGCCGTGTAATCTGGTCCCAAATAGAACTGAAAGCGAAATTCATGTTAGATTCATGTCGTCAGTGTGAAATTTGTGACTGGGTGATATTTGCATGGCAAAATTCAGACATGTCACGTTGATAAATCAGAAGTTTATAACATAATTTTCACTTGAATTGCGCAACATTGCTACAACGTGAATTTCACAAGGCTGAAATAAGTGTGCAATAGTCAACATAAACTCGACGTGATAATTTTGTGTTCAAATCACACAAATTCACGCGTCCTTCTCAATGTTGGATAAATGTGAAATATGCGTGATTTCCCCATTATGAAAGGCGGGCTTGGCATCCTTTCTTCTCCACAGCACATACTCATTTCATTCCGCTCTTCTCCACTTTGCCGAAAAATCGCCTATTGCTATTTTTTAAATAAAAATGGAGAAAAGCTTTGTTGTAGTAGAATTTCCAAATGATAAGCCAGTAACAGTTTCGGTAGTACCACGAAGTTGGCTTATTAGTGACAAGGAATGTCGTTGGCCACCATCAAGATTGAGGAATCGCGACCTTTTGCTAAAAGATCCAAACTCAAAGCCTGCTGAAAATTGGGAAATTTCGGCCTGTAGGATTCTAGGCCAATTCGGTAAGTATATTTAATCAAAACTTCTTGACATATGTAAATAATCAATTTTGTCCTTATGTATTTCTGCAATTATTTTTAATAATCCAATTATCTTTTTCGTTAGATAATTTTGAGGCGGCTGTTACCGGTTGTAAAATTGCCGAGGAGCGTTCAGACGTTGAAAATAACTCCAAGGCGGGTAGACGGGGGAGACCAGCCAAACGTAGGAGGCCCGAACCACCCAGCTCCGAGGATTCATCAGACTGCGACGAGATAAGCTCAAGAAATAAATTGAAAAATGTTGTGACTCAGCCACGTCCTACTAATTTCAATTCGTCGCATCCAGCTACTACTTTTTTAAGTGGTAATATTTCAATATTGTTATCTTTTATTCCAATAATGTCAATTATGTTGGTTGAATTAGATATTAAATAACTATTGTCGTTTTAAGCTCCCGACAAATATCAGGCTGGGATTTATACCCCGCCTAGTTCAACCAAATTTTCGCTCGTCCTTAACACCCAATTCCAACCGGAAGTTGATACTTCAATTGGAGACGGCAAATTATTGTATGGTTCCTTCACACCTTCTCAAAATGGCCTGGAGCTTGATCAAGTTGACGCAGGTGACTCTCCAGCCGGAGATCCATTCACTCAACGGAATTTTGACAATGCATCTAGTCCAATCGTGATGACATCACACAGTGAGACAGATTTTTTAACCCCAAGGCGCCAGGGAACTTCTATTCGTCAGAAATCATGATTGTTATAAAATATTTCGTAAAAATACCGACCATCCAAGTTATATTGACTGTATCTTTCCAGGCGGAGGAGCATTTGATAAAATCATAATTAAGTACTTGGCCGCCATTCATACACAAAATAAAAATATTCTACAAGACCTGAATTGGATAAAGAATAATTCCCAGGCCTCTCTTCAATCAAATACGACAGAACGAAGCTACAATTTTGACACTTTACCAGTGTTCCCACTTGACTCACAAGAAGCTCTCCAACTGTTGAACGAGCAATTACAGATTGATGACGAGAAAAATATTTTGGTAAGCAAATCTATTTTGAATTAACTAAATTAAATAACTTTGCAATTAATCAAATAACTTTGTGGAGTTGATTTAAAAAATTGATGGAGTTAATTAATTAATTAATTAATGGAAATAATAAAGTATTTCTACTCATTTTCTACTAGATTGCTTATCTGGAAACAATTGGAGGCTCAACGGTACAAGAGACGGTGAAAAAAATTTTACGAAGAATTTTTACACCTCAGCTAGCCAAGCAATTCTCCTACACTGGAAAAGGGACGAATAAATTAACATTCAGTATCTTTGACAATTTGGTTTCTTGCATTTTTGGTAAATATTTAATTAAATTTAAACGTTTTTATTGTAAACAAGAAATGTATTATTTTAATAAATGATTTTTTAGGGGCAACAAGGAGAAATAAGAAAATTTTGAACGCAGATACAACAGATCGCACTCTGCAAGTAATCATCATGGATTTTTTCAGATATGTGAGATTACCTGCTCCGTCTCCTTTGGAACAGCAAGATCAAAATTAGGCACGTTACTAACCGAAATTGGGTTCACATGGTAGTTAATTAATAATAGTAAATTAGTAGTAAACTAACTTTAATAATTTAAATTAAGATGTCATCAAGTCGTAGTCAGCGTAGGCGTGTGAAAAATCAAGTTGACCTAATATTAGCAGAAATCGATTCAGCAGAAAATCAGGATTTAAAGTTGAATATTCCGGTAATAGATTCTGTGCCTAAACTAGTGGAGGAACCACGTGATAGTTCTAGTAGCGAACCTGTGGTTTATCTTTCTGAAACTATTTCACCAAATATCACGGTCACGCCAAATATTATTACAGATATTCTCGAACCCGAAGATAAACCCAAATTTAAAAACTCTTTAGCAGCTTGGGCAATTAAACACAATATCACGGCCAAGGCGGTTGATGATTTACTTTTTCTTCTGAAGCAAAACAATAGTGACCTCGACGTTCCACTATGCTCTAAAACGCTGCTAAGTACTCCAGGGACAAAAGATTATAAAGTCACCCGAGTCCAAGGAGGATTTTATCATCATTTTGGATTAGGAAAAATGCTTCAAAACTTTCATGCACACAATTTGATTAGTTCCAGCTCGAACACTTTAAAGTTAATAATAGGAATAGACGGTTTACCTATAAGCGAAAGTAGCAAAAAGCAATTTTGGCCAATTTTAGGTAGTTGTGAATCAGTAAACCGAAGTCGACCATTTTTAATTGGTCTTTATTTTAGTGAGCAAAGTAAACCAGGTTGTTTTCAAGAGTTCTTGACCCCATTAATTTTAGAAATGGAAGAATTTCAAAAACATGGGCTTTGGTTGGGATATAGTTTATATAATATAGTTATTTTTGCAATTATTGCCGATGCTCCAGCTCGAAATTCCTTAAAGTTTACGGTTACGTTTAACGCTTACCACGGTTGTGAACGATGTATTGATAAAGGGAAATGGCTAGGTAGAATAATTTATACCAAATTGGACAGCCCTCTCCGAACGGACGAAGATTTTTTTAAACAAACTGACAAGCGTCATCATACAGGCGTGTCACCATTCGCTGATTTGGGAATTGGTTTAGTTACGGGAGTCCCACTCGATTATATGCATCTGATCTGTTTAGGTATTGTGAAAAAATTGATTAAATGCTGGAAAAAAGGACCCAGAGTACATCGATTAGGTCGAGTAGCTATTGAACGTATTTCATTTAGGTTAGAAAACAGAAGAAAATTTACCCCGAAAGAATTCAATAGGAAACCGAGAGGTTTAGCTGACCTTGAGTACTGGAAGGCCACAGAATTTAGGGCATTTCTTTTGTACCTGGGTCCAGTAGTTTTAAAAGGGGTTCTTCAGAATGAAAAATACACGCATTTTCTCTATCTGAGTTTGGCATTGAGAATCTTGTTATCTGATAATAAGGAATGGTACGGATATGCAAAATTCTTGTTAGTTGAATTTGTTAAAAATGTCCCAAAGCTATATTCCTCAGAATTTTTAGTGTACAATGTTCACTCTTTAATACATATAGTAGATGACGCTCTAAAGTTTGGGTCCCTTGAAAATGTGAACGCTTTTAAGTTTGAAAATTACATGCAAAAATTAAAAAAAATGCTAAGGGGCAGGCATAGCCAGCTAGCTCAAGTCATTCGACGCATAACTGAGTCTGACAAGTTTGGATTTAGACCAAATGAACCATTAAAGTGTCACCACTGGATTATTAGTAATAATTTGGGAAACCGTTGCTTTATTTTAGAAAATGGGGATGTTATTATTGTAAATAGTGTAGAAGATGAATCTGTTGTGGTAAAAAAAATTTATGTGCAATGTTGATTTATTTAGTAGTCCTTGTAAAAGTTCGCATTTTTCAATTCAAAAGGTTTCAAATTTGCACAAGTCCTGTTTTCTGATTAGCAAGGCAAAATTGAAATATAAAGCGTTTTTAATTCCAACAGATAAAATTCATGAGTACACATGTACTCCATTGTGTGGTCAAAATTAGATAACATGTATGTTGTTAATATTAATCTTATAGTTCTAATGCTTACTTGTTGATTTATAAATATTATTCATTTGTAAACTGTAATAAAAAAATGAAATTATCTTTTAGTGTGATGTTAGTGTGAAATTAATTTAATTGTAACGTGCATAATCTGTCAAGTTTATATGGCAGATCACACAACGCATCAGTGATACCACGCAAATTTCACATTCAGGTAACTCTGAACCGTCACAAATTTCACACAAACATCACGTTGAGTAAACGTTACACAAGTTGTGATACTGGCGTTACAAGTGCGGCCATAAGTTCAGATATTTCACAGTGTTGAGGTCACGTGAATATCCCTTACCGTTTCTATTTGGGGTGAGACTGCAATTAGCCATCTGCAGCTGATCGGTTCTGCCTAACAATTGCAAGATCGTCGCCCCAACAAATACACTCTTAGGGAATTGGTATTAAATAAAACCGGATCATTACCGACCGGAGTACATATATGACTCTACCGGCATCGGTAATATCGAGCATTACGGTTTAGTAATAAAGTGGTAATGATAAAGTTACCGCTCAGAAACAAACTAATACTACTCCGGTACGAAAATGTTACCAAATCAATACCAGTACGGAGTACATATATGACTCTACCGGACACTTTACAGTGTACATACGTAATCCCCTGCTGTGAACAACCCGATTTCTCAGAGTAAAGTATTTAAAGTACGTAACTCATGTCCGGCCCCTCAGGTAACCGGGTAGTATTAAGGCTTAAATTGCTCGGGTAAGAACTTGATGTTCATTTACTGCCATGGCGTAGGAAATTCACTGCCAACACTGTAGTGATACAGCCGGTATTTATTTTGTTGCCAGATTAGAGTGTAGAAAAATAACAGTGCAGGGGATGATGTTCACCATTCAGCTTCATGTGATCCTGGCTCGAATATTTGGGATGACCATGAATTGATAAGGATATTTGTCTCGTCAACATCCTGCCAACATACATACATAGTTCTGATAATTATCAATTATCCACTTTACCTAAATATTTCGTTAACCTGATTCATACCATTTCCCACCAGTTTGGTTTTAACTCCATTTCTACACAAATAGCAAGAGATAGGAAGGATAGGATTCTTAAAATCTCTGTACATTGCGAAATGGTGAGTGGTGACTTCTTCATTTTTATTTCCACGGTTTCGGGGAACATAAATTATGTAAATGCCATTAATTGGTAAAAACCGGTATAAACCACCTGAGGTCGTATAACATAAATTGGTAAAAAACTGGCAGGTTTTTTCATGAAATTATACCATTTAAGTGAGTTGATACAACAGTTAGGTTAGGTTAGGTTAGTGGCATAAACTGACAAAATGTGGTAATCTAAACGAAGTCTTGTTCACTTTATAATTGATGTACAATTACAATTTCAGCCGTACCATTCGTCTCACTCCATTGGAATAAATGGAATCCCTCGCCACGTTTGGGGAGGCATAATGATCTTACCGTTTGAAACGGACCTCCCCGGACCGGCCCCACCCTTATCAGAAGCTGAATTAGAGAGGAAAATAACAGGTGATGCGTCATGTGGCGACATTATCGATGAAGCCATCTTCTACTACAAGTCTAACGTTTTCTTCAGAACGTTCGAAATTAAGGTAATCCACTAATTCAAATTTACGTAACTAAACATTCAAATTTCTTAAGTTTCCATGTAAACAATATCCTAATGTTTGTACCCATCCACACTATGATTTTCGGGAAAAAAACCGAATAAATTATTTTAAGGTCTAGAATGGACCCATGTGGGTGGGGGAGCATAAAAATATGGGTTATTGTGGTTTTTGAAAAGGGGTGTGGTGTGTGGGGGGTTTTTTATGAAATTCCCAAAAAGTCTCAAATTGCCCCCATAACCACACCCACTTTGAAGAGAATTTAATGCTGATTAAAAAAGACTATTATACATGCCCCCTAACTCCTATCGTTCTCATGGAAAAAAATATAACGTAGTGAAGAAACGGAATTTTGGTCAAAAACGGATGATTTGTCAATTTAAATTGGCTGGCAAATTCTTAAATCGAAAAAGTAGCAGCTAATGACCTATACTTCATAAACTACCCTTATAGGTGTGTCTAATGACGCAACATTCGGCCAAATCCCAGAGACACTTTTTGGGAAAACATCACGCAAAGTTGGGCAAAATCCAGCTGACGAAAACGATGATTTGTCGAGCACTTTGGAGAGAAGCTACATCTTTTAGAGTAATAAGTTGCAAAAACTGACCTGTTTCTCGTAAACTACGTTCATAGGACTGTATAATAATGTGACCCTTGTCCCATCCGGATTTGTAGTTTTCTTAATAATGTAACGCAAACTTGCGTCAGATGACGATTCCCAGATGACGATTCCCAGTTGTTGCATTGTCGATTTTAGCAAGGTAGGAGAAAAAAATGGTATTTCATAATGTGGGGAATATGATTACCTATCACAAATTCCTTTAAATAATTTTTTGGTGGCATTTTGCCATCACACACGTAAGGGTCCAAAATATGGCCAAAATGACGCAGCGCCTATCCGAGATTTCTTTGGAAATTTTGTGGAACATTTTACTTTCTCTTCGGTTTTTAATTGAGATTGATATTTGGCATGGAAAAATTGCCTTTCTGGGTTTCCAGTTTTCCGAGGTTTTGGTGTAAAGCATTGGAAGTGTTGCGCTCTATATTTTTTCTTCAGCTTTCGTACCTTTTCTTGCAGACTTTTTTGCATACGGTTTGATCCTCAGTTTATGGGCTTTAATAAGGTATAAGTGGTATCCGGACATCTCATACCCCACATGTCATTCCCACACACCTCATTCCCCACATTGCATGCCCCCACAACTCATATCCTTACATCTCATCCCCACCACAAGTCATTCCTTCACACGTCATCCCCCACACATGTCATTCCCCACATTTCATGCCCCCAATTTATGCTGACAAATGTGACATAAGTTGCATTACTACATATTTATTAATATTAGTACATACATTCTTACACATTAGTAAAAACTGTATTCAACAATAAAGGTACTACAGTCAATGGTCCTCATGATCAATTTTTCTTTAAATATGAAAAAATTAGCTAATAGCTATCTCGAAATTTGTTTGAAAACTTTAATGCCAATCGTACAAATTTCGAAAATTTTGGAATTTTGGTGTATGATACCCCACCCACGCAGATGACCCCAACTGATCAACCAGTTTACCGATTTCGCCCATATACGAACTTAGCACCTCGTTTGCCACATACATGTAGTACATGTGTAGAAAATTTCAAGTCGATAGGATAAGTTTGACGACAGTTATCGTAAGACGAACGCACGGACAGACATGATGGTTCCATTAGCCCTGACTCGGGCTAAAAACTCATATTTTAATACAAAGCGTACAAATGTTCCTAATTTCAAACCTCCAAATATAAAATATTAAGTCGATATAACCTCTGCAGTTATTAAGAATAAATAAAAAAACTCCCTTGACGCTTGTATTTATTGTTAATGACTACGGAGGGAATATTGACTTAATATTTTGTATTTCGAGACCAGAAAAATAAAAACATTTGTACGATTGACATTAAAGTTTTCAAACAAATTTCGAGATAGCTATTAGCTAATTTGTTTATATTTAAAAAATGATCATGAGGACCATTAGGGACTTAGCGTTGACATGACGTATAACGTATAACTTATAATTAAAACTTATAACTTGAAAATAAGTCGTAAGTCCCCAAAGCGCCATGGTAAACGTAAAATTATAATTTTGCGTCATGCCAATGCTAAGTCCCTGTTGACTGTAATACCTTTATTATTGAATAAAGTTTTTACTAATGTGTAGGAATGTATGTACTAATATTAATAAATATGTAGTAATGTAACTTATTTCACATTTGTCAGCATAAATTGGGGGCATGAACTGCGGGGAATGACATGTGTGGGGGATGAGGTGTGGGGGAATGACATGTGGGGTATGAGTTGCCCTAGAACCGGTATAAGTACAGTGCTAGCCACGAAAGGTTACCCCGCCGAGTCTCAAATTCCCGCACGCACAATCACAAGGCTGAATCACAAGGCTGAATCACAAGGCTGAAAAAATAGGAATCGACTACTTATTAGTGCTAGGAAATCAGGTAATGATGAGGATTGGAAAACATATCGTAAAGCAAGAAACTATGTTAACTATTCATTGAACAAGTCGAAAAAGTTATATTTTGTTGACAAATTTGAAAAGGTAGCTAGTACTAAGAACATGTGGAAATGTATGGACGAGCTAACTAGTTACACGAGAAAAGACAAGCAACCAATTAACTCCTTAATTATAAATGAAGTATGTACATATGATAAAAGAGAAATTAATGATCATCTGGCTGAATGTTTCAATGTTAATGATGACTTTACTGCGTGTGCTAATCATGAGTTAGATAAGATTGTTGACAACTATTGTAATAATTTTGATTACTCTAATAGTAATCAATCAGACATTCTACCATGCGAAATAAAGAATGTCGAAATTTCAGGGTGTATTTCGAAAATGAAAAATAAGCAACCAAAAAATGTTAACTTACCTCCAGTATCTATAGTTAAAAAATGTAAAGACACGTTTAGTGCATATTTATCTTTGTTTTTTATGTTCTTCATAAACCAATGTATTATGCCGCAGTCATTTAAGGCGGCATGCGTTACACCGTTGTTTAAAGGTAAAGGGAGTAGATCCTCCGCTAGAAATTATAGACCAATTTCGATTCTAAATATGTACTGTAAAATTTTTGAAAGGTTCCTGTTTAATAGAATTAGTTACAGAGTTGAGAATTTGATGTGTGATGAACAGCATGGCTATAAGAAGAACAAGTCATGTATTACAGCATTAAAAGAATTTACTAATTATGTATATCATGAAATTGACAAACCTAAAACTAAAGTTGTCGCGGTAATGATAGATTTCTCTCAAGCCTTTAATTCTCTTGATAAAAGTGTTTTAATTAAGAAACTTATGAGTGAATTTAAATTAGAACCATGGTATATCTGTACTATCCGAGAGATTTTTCGTAACCGTGTTTTTCGTTTTAATAATGATGACAAGTATTATGATATGCCAAGAGGATGTTGCCAAGGAAGTTCACTTGGAGGGCTTTTTTACAGTTTATTTTCCAATGATTTGTCATCTCGCATTATGTGTAAGATGTTAAGCTATGCAGATGATGTAATTTTATATGCGACCGGTACTAACTCGGATGAGATATTGAATGAAGTAATTGCTCAGTTTAATAATGTATGTGTTTGGTGCTCGGAAAATGGTATTAGCGTTAATTATAGTAAGACCAAATACATGGTATTTTATAAGGAGCACGATACGACTGAGAAATCGGAGAGAATGTTTTTTAATGTTAATGGTGACAAAATTGAGCGTGTCTTTGATTTTAAGTATTTGGGTATATGGATAGATCCACATCTTAATTTTAAGAAACATTACGAAGTTGTATGCAAAAAAGTAGTTGCTAAATTAAAATACTTGATACCGAGGTATCAAGCGTTATATGAATATTAATGTACTTAAAATTACAATTAATGCGTACCTACACTCGGTAATAGACTACGGAATTGAAATATGGGCAGTACAGAGTGACAAAATGCTCGAAGAGTTACAGAACAAAATTGATAGATTTATATGTGAATTTTTTGTACATAAATGTGCTAAGAGAAAATATAAGTTAAACAACGGTTATTTTTATGATAAATCTTATATTAACGAACTAAGAAAGCAATGCAATTTTATGACTGTTTTACAGAGACGAGATTTTGTGCTGTTGAAGTGTGCATTTAAGGATATGACAATGGGTAAATGTATTTTTTCATTAAGAAGTAATTTGCGTAAATGTCCATTAATGATAGTTGATAATTTTTCATCTCAAATTTATCGCAAATCTGTTGCATTTCGTACAACTAAGATATGGAATACGTTACCCAGAGATCTCGATGTTAAAAATATGTCATATAATCTATTTAAGGATTTTTTACATGATGACATATTTGACAGAATGCAAAGTGTTGAACGTATTTAGTTATGAACCCTAGTATTATTGTGTAGAGATAGATAATTCTTAAATTTGTTTATTATGTGTGTCACTTGTGGAAGAGCATGGTTAATTACTGTGAACTGGCTAGACACTTGAATAAAGCATCAAACAAACAAACAAACAAAATCCCGCACAAATCGGCTAAAAATGAGGGTCTCGTTTTTACACTCTGGTGACCTCAGTTTTTGACCTTTTGGGTCAAACTTGGTACACACATTGCTAAGCATATTCTCAAGGTTGGTTTTGAAGGATTTTGGCCTAGGTCACTTCCGTGACCTTCCATAAATCCCCAAATGTTTTGAATAAAATTCAGTTTTTACACTCTGGTAACGGTAATATTTGACCGTTTGAGGTCATATTTGGCACACACATTGCTAAGCATATTCCCCAGGTTGGTTTTGAAGGTTTTTGGCGTAGGTCACTTCTGTGACCTTCCAGAAATCACCAAACTTTTTGCATTCAATTTTGTTTTTACACCTGGTGAAAAAAGCCATAGTTGGCGTTTTTTGACCAGTAACTTTTTTCATAAGCATGCCTTCGGCACGGCCGAGCATTGAACATGCAAAAATTTCCTAAGAAATGAGCTCGGGAAATTTTGAGCGATAATTTGGTCATATTTTTGCTCTGTGCAGAGTGTAAGAACCGAATTTCATGCAAAACGTTTCGTGATTTCTGGACGGTCACGCAGGTCACCTAGATCAAAATCCTTGAAAACGTAATTGGGGAACGTTGTTTGGAATGACTATGCCAAATATAACCTCAAACGGTCAAATATTACGGTCACCAGAGTGTAAAAACTGAATTTTGTGCAAAACGTTTGGGGATTTATGGAAGGTCACAGAAGTGTAAAAACGAGGCAAAAATGGTGAGACTTCAGTGACCCCTGTAGGGTCACAGAAGTGACCTAGGCCAAAATCCTTTAAAACAGTCCTGGGGAAAGTGATTGGGAGTGTGTATGCCAAGTTTGACCCCAAAAGGTCAAAAACTGAGGGCACCAGAGTGTAAAAACGAAGCAAGAATGGTGAGACTTCAGTGACCCCTGTAGGGTCACAGAACTGACCTAGGCCAAAATCCTTTAAAACTGTCCTGGGGAAAGTGATTGTGAGTGTGCATGCCAGGTTTGACCCCAAAAGGTCAAAAACTGAGGTCACCAGAGTGTAAAAACGAGACCCTCATTTTTAGCCGATTTGTGCGGGATTCAGCCTTGTGATTGTGCGTGCGGGAATTTGAGACTCGGCGGGGTAACCTTTCGTGGCTAGCACTGTAGTTTGTATTTATCTCTAACATCTTGGCCGCACCAGACACGGACGTCGATGGATACTTTTCAAAAAATGATTCAATCGTTTTTAACTTTTGAGGGGCACATATGATGATTTGTTCTCATGATGGATTTTGGAAGTTGTCATTTTCGGATTCCCCATAGTTTTTTTTATGTGTGTGCTAATTTTTTCACGGCTACACCCTTTTTCGTTGAAATATAATCAAGCCATCTTTGAGTACTTGTTAATAAAATTCTGGTGCTTACGAAAAATTTGTTTCCAGATTTTTCCGCTTTGAAATCTTGTAGGGAATTTAGTTTCCATTTAAAATTTATGAAATTTTAGGGTTAGGTAGCTAGATATATTTTGAGTACAGACCAAAAATTCCAGATTCAAAAAACGAAATTTTTTTACTACTATTCCGCCAAAATAAAAAGTGCCTCAATGCTTCCAATGGATATTCTAAATACGTATGTAATAAACCATATGGATGGTTAACTATCAATTTAAGCCCGAGATTTTTCTAAACTTGGCGCTGTGATTTTGCTGGGTGATTTTTCTACATCTATTAACGCTGTAGGCTGTGCCCGGTAAGCCTGACGTGCAAAAAATATACGGCTTTAATAGACAAACTAGAGCAAACTCTATTTGCCTATTGCGAGCAAGCAAGAAACGCCTCTAACTTTACCGCTGCCGGTTTTGTAATAATTGTTTCGGTAGATTCTTATATAGAATTAACCGAAATTATGAAGAAAACATGGGGCCGGGCCGGGAGAAATCCCCAGGGTCGGGCCAGGCAAGTTTGGGCACTGAATATTTTTATGTTCGGCATTGCAAGTTTGTCACCATAACCAAAGCGGCATTACTGACCGTAATTTGCTAACTCCAGATATATGCATGACCAATCGTAAATGCAATGTAATTTAGGACTCAAAACTAGAAAACTTATTTCGAAACTTTATGATTTAACAGGAACGTATTCCTAATGATGCAAGAAATGCATATCACACATTCACACGGTAAAAAAACAGAGAAAGATTTCAAGATATCATGCAATTCTCTACTACTGTAGATAATCAAATTGTTCCATGTCAAAATAGTCACTTTTCCCCTATTGGGGGTCGAGGTTACTCAACAAACAGGATAAGTAGACTGCCTATAGTAGTACAGAGATGGGAGAGGTATCATTTTGAAGATATTGAACAGAGAAGGATTTAAAGATATCATGCATAGTGCTAATTCAGAGTTGTAACCATAGGCGAAAACATAGAATTAGAATGAAGAATTAGAACGGAGATAACAACCTCGACTAGATTAGAACGCAGATTGGAACGCAGATTAGAAAGTGATAAGCGCTTGCATTCATGTACATTTCATGCGCTGTTGTGTTTGTCATATACAATTATTTATGTAATTTATTTGTCAACTGGAACATGTATGATTCATTGAGGTTAAATTACTACGATTCAACAATGTTTGAGCGTGTTAAATTAAATTTGTGTCCTCCCGCCCCAAAACAGAGAGTCACTAAACATTTAACTTGACGGCATAGGGAATGTGACAATTATGTAACTGTAAAGCATAGCGTAGTTCATTTGACAAGATAAACATGCATTATTTGTAAAAAGAGAGTCTGATAATACAAATATTCACCATCACACCTTGATTGAATTGACTAAACATTTCGCAACTAAAAATTTTTCAGAACATTGAACCATACTCTGGTCAGTTATACGAATTACTATTTATTATTGCTACGAATTATTACATGAAGAACAGATATTTGGTTTCAACGTAATGAATTTAAACAATATTTTTCCCCTTAGCACATTCAAATACGCAGTATGGAGATGAATATAAAATAAGCTCGGTTCTGGTCAAAGTGATCAGTCCACCGCTTACTGTAGCAACTACATAAATATATGGCCTATATCAGAATCTGCAGATTTTCCTAAATTAAAAACTTAACCGCTTATTATTATTATACATTAGGATTTAAAATGGGTCAATTTAGGCAAACCGTCTCAATTTTGGTAGTCATCTCTGTCATCACTGGTAATGTATGTAAAACATTGAGGGTATTCATCGTTCGGGGGTTTCGTTTCGCAAAAATATTTATTTTTTGAGCTTTGAAATTTTTTTGGGAATTAAATACTTGCACTTTAGATGTGGAAGTTTCCGAAACACATTTATAAAATTGGCCAACTTAAGTTGCGAACTCGTGAAGAGTACTATAATTCTCAAAAAATATTCTCAATTCTATATAAATTTGTATTCAGCCGATCTCATCCCCGATGTACCCTATGGATCAGACCCACTACAAGTGATGGACATCTACCTGCCGTCTGGGGATAGTACCCGAGTATCTAAAATCATCATCGTGATCCATGGGGGTTCCTGGGGTAGTGGTGATAGAGTAAGCATGGGAGTAATTGTGGAATATTTATAAGCAACTTTTCCAGACTTCTGCATCGTTAACATGAACTTTAGACTTGGTAAGCGACTAAATATTGCGTATCGGATATCACAATCATATGGTTTGATTTACAAATTAAAATTCTGGCATTTCAAAAATTAAATTAAATATACTATGATCCCAACAAGAATTTAAATTTAGAGGGTCAAATTTTGAATTTATTGATCTCGGTTGATGAAGTGGTGGTGGTAGCGGCTTCTTAGCTGTCAGGGTTTATTCTTATTGTAATGCAATTACAAATTACTTCTACCCCAAGGTTCCCCCGCCAGTCCCGGATTTCCCAAACAGTTAGAGGATATCGACCAAGTTGTGACCTATATGAAAAACATGTTCACACAGAGCGTAACCTTCGCTCTTTTCGGGGCAAGTTCCGGCGGTCATCTCGCCACCTTGTATGCCTACTCGTGGGACAAGATTAACCAAAATGTGAAGGTCGCCGTGAATATTGTTGGACCATCTGATCTTACCGATCCCGCTTATGCCAACCATCCTGAGCGGGAACGACTCTTCAATTTTGTCGGACCCTGCTTGAACACGGAATGTCCGGAACAATACGTCGCTGCCAGTCCGGTCTACCATATTGATGCCAATTCCCCCAAAACAATTGGTTTCTTCGGAACCCTAGATTTCATAATTCCGCCGTCACAAATGTTCCTCCTACGAGACAAATTGGTGGAGGCTGGTGTCATCAGTAAGTTTACGATGTGCCCAGGAGGACACTGGGACGATTGGTCAGATGAAAATAAAAACAATACAGCCGTGCAAATCACGCAATTCTTTATAGAACATTGGCAATAATTTGGGAAATAAAATAACATGAATTTATATCTTGTATTCTTTGAATATTGTATCACTTTTCAATGCCGCTTTAAATGGGAACCATCCTGACCCGTTCCGTAAATTGGAATGGGGACGTCTGAAGTATGAAGGTATAGTTTCATGTTTATAAATGCACATTTTCTCTTCCATATTTCCAGGAATATTCCTTCCAAGGATTCCAACCAATCCGTCGGTGAGTAATTGCATAAAAGCTTCTTCTCCAGATGAGGTAGACATGACCAATTATTTTGCACAGAGGTGTACATAAGCTTGACGGTGAGTAGTGGTATTTCCCTCAAAATTGGTCCCCTCTCAACCACCCAGGTGAAGGCAGATATTGGCGACGTTTACGAGTACTTCCAACACGCTTATGGACCAAACGTATGTAACAAATTCATTACCCCAGCAGGTGTCCCGAATAAACCCTGGTTTTGCATTTGTAGGCTATGCTTACCATGAAGATGTACTTTGCGGGAAGTAGTGAGGTAAGTCGGATGATAAGGAGGTTACAAGAAACTTATCCAGTGCGTTAGTTCATAAATTGCCAATTTTCGGAGAGTTTGTAACCATAAATTTTTAAATGATTATCCTCAAAAAGCGGAATGACGAGAAATTCTGAAACATAATCATTAAAAGAGAACTAATGATTGGTTACGATTATTTAAACTTTGTTTCTCAAAATGCGGGTGTTGAAATTACTCCGATTTTCCAAACCGAAGAAAACGAAGGGCTCGTGATGTGAATGTTGTGACCGTCACTTTATGAGAATACTGACTAACCCTTCTTCCCATTAATTCAGATAGTCGGAGACGTAAACACAGAAGACCCGAAGGCTTTACTCTCAACTATTATTCTCAACTAAATAATTAATAGAAAGCAAGGTTACTTTAAACCAGGATACTTTAAAATTAAGTTTCAAATATTATTATTTTCAAGAGAATGCTCGTTACGCAACAAAGTTTTTAACCAATACTCTTTCCTGCTATACCACGGTCGCCGTGTCAGCTGTGCACACAAAATCATGGGGTATAACAAAATTCTTATCTCATACATTTAGCTACTTGCAACAGTGTGTAAACCTTATGTGCTATCGGAAAAACTCCTTGTCGGATCGAAGTACGTCCGAATCTTGTTCACCCATCTTCCAAACAGATTCACGAATACGCTCCGAGTTGTCCCGCTTACCCCCAACTCGATAAATAGAATAACCCAGGCTATCTTCACTCCCAATTCAAGGAAGGGTAATATCCAAAACATGGCGCCAAATGTTACAATATTCGAAATTGTGTCCACATCCGATTCATCGAACTCGGTATTCTTTTCATGCTGGATCCGTTCTGCTTTTCCCGTAAGGTCCGAATTACACATTCTTCTAATCCTCCTTCCCGCCATACTTGTGAACCCTTCCTGGATTTCGATCCATTTGAAGATTAGTCCACTGGCCATCAAGCGATCCACAACTTGATCCGCGTAAGCTAATTGAGGGCATTATTCCAATGGAAGAGTTTATGAGAAAATTTATTTTTATGCATATTTACGTTTCAGTGAGGAAAACGGGCTCATCGGCAGACCCACCCAGGTTGGCATGATCCTCTCTTTTGACACTTTCAACCGAATCTTTCCACGAGCATCAGTTAGCACAACCCTGGCTAAGAACGCGACCGTATAAAAGGTCGAAATACAGGCATGATTTTTCTTCCGCACGGTCTCGAAACACTGCAACCATGGTAACGTTTATTCGTTTTCATTTAAATCGTGCCAAGATAAATCTTACCTCATGAAGATGATGATTTTCTCTAAATCCAGTCACCCTGTCAAGGTTAGATATTCCAAGCGATTTTAAGTGTGCTTCCAATTCGTGCAGACTTTCCATCGAAAATTCCGAAGTTCTCGATATGTTGAAATTTGAGTTAAACAGCTCCCTGAAGGTGGACGGTGGTTCTACAACTGTCGGTGTGATTAGATCAGAGACCATGCAGGACTTGTAGGATGTGGTAAAAATGAAAGTAAAGAAGAACCAAGACGCTAAAACAATTTGAAATGGGCCTTTCGTCCCAAAGATCGTATCGCAGGAACCCGGTTGATCCAAGAGTGGATGAATTATGCACAATTTCATGGTACCCCAACTGTTTGTTCGAAAACGTTGCAAACCGCAATAGGTCGCAATGATCGCGCAATACGCTACTATTAACCAAGCCCAAACCGTGTGGGTAGCCGGCTTTAAAAAAATCCCCATCCCCGACTTTATTTGTTCGCAGCGGCGTCAGGAAAACGACAGGATTTGAAATGATAAGTGTTGAAAACTGAAGCGTTTCCCAACTTCGGCGCTCAATGGCACATGCATGACCGATAGCTTCGTCATAGTTTGTCAATGCGTCCACAAAGCCGTCAATTCCTACAGAATGACCAGTTCAATGACAAATTGGATAGGAATAAGTACAGCTCAACTTACCAGTAACCAGCGGCTGTATTCTCGTTACGATTTTCCCACTGTCTTTGCTTCTCACAGGAAATCCTAGTGTCGCGTTTACAAAGTCAATAACAGTGTATGCCATCCGCATCCCTGGAGTCTCCGTTTTACTTCCGCGAATATAGCTTTGCTCCACCTCGCGTGTGTACAATCCCGCAATTGGATAAGCCGACATCGTGGCGACGGATTCTAGTTTGAAATTTCTTTGGGCTGCAGTATACGTTTTTATATCGAGCCAGAGAGATTCGTGAATTATAACCCATTTGTGCCGCACTAGCCAAAAAGTCGAACTCCGTTTAGGATGTATCATGATAAGGAATACATTCCTTATCATAGCCCTTAAACTATGCTGAAGATATAGCGGTGACTCAGATATGGGTATCTTCAATGTCGCTGTCATAGATTTCGTGACGATGAAGTACCAGTTCCGAAAAGGGGAACAGATGGTTGCAAAATCAATTCGATGTGATTCTGACAGTAAAACATGTGAATTTGCCGCTGCCAAGATGACTACTGCATGAACGTGGCAGGACCCGTATCTCGGAACATTTTTCAAATTTGATACACAATTTCCCTGAACTCGGGGTTTTCTAAAATTCGGAGTGGTGGATGCTTTTGTTTTGAATGAAGTGATTCTGGGCATGTAATCCCCGTCTTGTCGGAGAAATAGTGAAACGCTCCCCAAATTGGAGCGCCCACCACCCAGGATAATCAACATTTTGAAGAAAACTGGACCAGGAAGATTTTCAACACGGTTCAGAACGTCCCTGAAACCTTCTGAAGTTTCCAAATTGCTGGCCTGTATTGGGGTTGTAAAAGCGATAACGTGATGAAATATGCCAGGGAATATTACAACGAAGAATGACAGAAGGCGATGCATACTGTAAGAAAGATGATGTAAATAATTCGTGGAAAACAATAGCTCCCGTGTTTTTCACACTCTCAAATAGGAATAGAACTCTATAGTCTCATTGGCGGATGTAATTTATTCTTGCACTCGATACAGATAGGATATCAGTTACGGCTAACAATATCTGAACAAAAATGTTTTACGGAAATTATTTAAATTGTGGATCGTTACGCAGTTCAAACAAAAGATGTCATGCTCAAGAAAGAAGCGATAAGCTATGCAATTATTGGAACACATCAATACAACATTAATCTTCACTTGAAGTGGAATTGGCTTTCAAACAAAACGTTTTAAAATTTAAATAACAGTTTAAAAACTTTTGGTTCGTCCCAATCGTGCATTATTTAAATAGTTTTCAACCATATCTGGCCTGTTATTAAGGAATGTAGAAAATATGGGGCGGTTTGGAATTAATTTGTGTTATTAAATATGCACACCTGCCACAAAACGATTAACGAGGGCAAAATGAGCTTTCTCTAAAGGTTATAATTTTTAGCGGTACTAGAATTTGTGTGCGAGTTATGGATTCTTATTTATTTTGAAGTTTCGTTAGAAATCATGGTACCTAAAGTGCTATTAAGTAAAGTGCAATTTCCAAATTTGGATGCTACTAAAATAAAGTGCGACAAAGCACGATACATAAGTAGCGCAAAAATTCTTAGAATTCTTCACAATATAAAGCAAATAGTTTCCCGATTCAAATTCTAATAATGCCTAAAAACGAATTAATTAAAGATAAACTAATTATCTTTAATTGACCACATGCCATGCGCTATATTTCGAAATTATGGCCATGGCGACAAACCATGTCGAAAAAAGTGTCGAAACCTAATCGCCATATTGCGACATATCGACAACACCACAAAACATGTTTTGCCCAAATTTCATGCAAATCGCCCAAAAAATGCCGAAATTATGGCTTGGCGACGTTTTTCGACATGATGTCGAAAAAGTGGCCACACTCCCTTAATAGTGTGTCACCCCATAGCCGTGAAGAACATGTGTTGAAAATTTCAAGTCGCTGCGACAAACCGTTCTCTAGTTTTAGTGTTCACAGACAGACAGACAGACGGACAGACTAACTAACCGATCGCATTAAGTAGCTCGCGCTACTTAATAATTGTGTTCGTAAATCAACCTAGTTACACATGAAGAAGACCACCATTTCTCCGCAGGGTCACTTGTGCCGCATATTAGGCTGTCTATGCGATTAATTTAAATTATTGATTTCCAATTTGAAATTTCAATTGTAATTCTCCATCACTAATTTGTCAATCTCTGTTTAATATTAATAATCATCATTTTAAATTTGGGTGAGTGATGCATAGATAGACATGTAGAGCCAATTTATTAACAGTAGTATTAAAATTTTAAAATATCCATTAGGTATGTAGATTTTTGTAAGTTTTATTTTAGTAAATGACGAAACCTTCAGCATCCTGAAACATATGAGTAAGAATTATCCGTTTCAACAGCGAGATCCACCACTAATTTTAGAATTTGGAATCAAGTACTTCGAAATGGTATTATAGTCCGTGTGAGATGACTAGACCAAATTTTTTGGCGGGGAATTTACCCTGGGGGGCGCTATGGACTTATAACATGGGATACATTGGTACATGGATATCTGTGGAACGGGTGGATGGAATTACAAGTTCTTTTTTTGTTGTAATCTATATTCCAATACCTCGACCCGATTTTGGTGTTTTCCGAAATTCGAATTTTGAAATTCGAAAATTAAAAAATTCTGAAAGTGCATCGCAAACAAAGCATGGCAAAATGATCGTTGGTTCGATTTCGCTGATTTTTGGATATGTTGTAGTCCTGATGGTGCTGAACAATGTTCAAGTTACCCACAAACCGAGATTCGACCTGCATGACCTTGTTTTAACCCGTCAAAGGTCACCAGGTCAAGTCTCACATAGCCCCATAATTGCGGAATGGTTGGAAAGGTTTCGGCGGGAGGATTTAGAAAATATATAATTTGTGAGGTCTGGGACCACCCCCTGATGATTTAGAGACCCATGAATATTATTATTATTTGGTAGAATTTCGCCAGTGGGCACAAGTGTAGAGCATGTTTTTGCAAAGGATGTTTTCAAAGAGATCGTTCCCTGGGGAAAACAAAACGTATGCTTACGCTCGTAATAGTGAGGTAACAATATTATTACCAAGTATGTACACTGCAAAAAATTCGCTGCTGTAAATTTAATGGTGTTACTTTTGGTGCTAATTTGTCACCTTGTATCTAGGGTAAAGTTTGTCCCCAATGGTGTTATAATTTACACCGCACGGTATAAAATTTAACACCACCACGCGGGGTTGATATGGGACTCGACCGCCTTGGTGTCAATAATTTTTTACACCACATGGTGACGAATTAACACCACACTGTGACAAATTAACAAAACACGCGGGATGGATATGTGACTATACCGGATTTTTTTCAGTGTAGGGGTAGGTATCGGTACGTAATTTTGTAATTTGTTTGTCTCAAATTATTACGGTAAAATTTCATAGCACGATTTTTGCACTATTAAACACATGTATTCGCTAAGGAGGGCAACTTGTCAACCCTCCCACCTCAGATCCTGATGTCCTTTGGATATGTTGTAGTACTAGGTGAATCTAGAAAACAACTTTAACCGTTTGATTCCATGGCCCTATTTGCGCCCGCCACACCCCCTCAAAGTGGCCGAATCACCCTATTCTGCGACCTTCAAATATTAACCAAAAATCCAATTTTGCTCGGATTTCAATAATTTTTACATATTATTGATCCAAGACAGTTACTCTATCAGACCCAATAGCACCTTTTCAACTTTTCAACTTTTTTGAAATTTTCACTTTTTTAAAAAATTTTCTAAGTCCTGAAAAAATTTAACATTTCAAAAAGTTGAGCTTGTTATTGGATATGATAGAGCAACTCTCTAGGATCAATAATATGTAAAAATTATTGAAATCCGAGCAAAATTGGATTTTTGGTGAAGGTTTTGAGTAGACAAGTTTAGCATTGCGGCCTTATGGGGAGCCCCTTCGAAGGGGTGTGGCGGGCGCAAATGGGGCCATGGAATCAAACGGTTCAAGTTGTTTTCTAGATTCACCTAGTACTACAACATATCCAAAGGACATCGGGATCTGAGGTGGCAGGGTTGACAAGTTGCCCTCCTTAGCAGAAACATTTATGCATATAATTTCAGCATAATTTTTTTTAGATGAAACGTTTCCGCATAAACGTTAGAACTGAATTTTGCCCTCAATTAAAAAAAAATTCTCTACAATTCCTCAGAACGACGAAAATTGTACACACGCTAAAAAAATTTGATGACTGATAAATCTATCCCCAGATTTGTTAGAGTTGAGTCGGATATCGGATTTTTTGATAAATCCGATCCAGTGTAATATCGCGTTAGGATGCATCGGATATTTAAAATAGATGGCCCGACTCAACTCTACAATGCAAAAAAATCCGCTGGTGTAAATTTAATGGTGTTAATTTGTCACCTTGTAGTTTAAATTTTGTCCTCAATGGTGTCATAATTTACACCACACGGTGTGAAATTTGACACCACTGCGCCGGGTGGAAATGTGACTCCACCGCCTTGGTGTCAACAATTTTTGACACCAGACGGTGACAAATTAACAACACACGGTGACAAATTAACACCACACGGTGACAAATTAACATCACGCGGTGATAAATTAACACCACACACGGGGTGGATGTGTGACTATACCGGATTTTTTGTAGGTACTCATTCCTCACTCATCCAGATCATACCCATAATGCTCCCTCCCAACTTGCCAAGCTTTTGCTCTACTTTGAAGATTAAATCGGTCCAGAATAGCTGCCAAGGGGTGGATAAATCTTAACGTTTTTGTACTCCTAGGTCCCTCAATCGCCATAGCTTTGACATCATTAATCGTACAGATTTTATCCATGTGGCACTCAAAGAGGCCCGCGTGTCGGGCAACAGCGACTCTCTGGTAAAATTCTTTCTCGTCATGGACCCTTATCCCGAGGGGGCCTTTGCCCTCCGTGTTGTGTCCCAGTCGTCCAAGCTCCCGATCCACGAGCCATTTCACGAAGGGGAAATTGACCCTGATTACGAGTCGGGCGATTGACTGGTAAATGTCGAATCCTTTGAGTAAACTCAGGCAAGCTAATTCCCGCAATAAGTCCATTTTTTAAAATTGGGAGACAATAGTGAACCTCACTACCAAGCGAGGAGGTTTAGTCGAGTGATAAACTAAGTGGAGGAGAGGATTATACAAAGATTTTAAATTTAGATTGAGTAAAAAAGAGAGAGTGGATTAGGATGGTTAATAACTTAGGTAAAATTTAAGGCACTTTATTTAATCTTGGGAGGAGGAAGGGTGTACCTCATCATTTGTTTTATGCAGGTAAATGCTGATTTATTTAAAAATAAATAACTTTCTCAGATGTGCAAACATTGCAATAAAATGGGTGAACTGATGCGAACTGAGGTGGATATAAAACTTAAAGGTTTGCACTGTAAGAAATACTGCAAATTTTAATTGGTAAAAATTTTATCACCGGATAGTCACCCCCTGTATTTATGTGGCTTACTAGTGATAAATTAATTAATTACTAGTGTTAAATTTTGTCCCCAAAAAATCACCAGATGAAAACAATCTATTACCCCCCGGATTTCTTAGATATTCCATTTTATCCTAAATAATTTGGGAAGAAAGTGTTACCCACTTGCGTAAATTGTTAACGGAGCGTTATAAACGTAACTTTAGATTAATTCTTGGCATCACAAAGCCATATTGGCCATAAACTATTGTTCTTCAAAATTTTTTAGAGTGTATCCTACCCAAAATTCGATACAATTAAAAAGGTAAAATATTTTAATTGGGGAAATGAAACTTGCTACTGAAGAACAAGTTCATTAAGGATACACTGTTTTTTGTGTTGAACAGCAGACTTAAATAGGTACTATTTTAGAGGTGAGTATTCCGTCTACCTCACTTTATCGTCATGGTCTGAATGACACAGACACAGATATAAACGTATGGCAAAAGTTTCGTGTATTACGTGTGTTGGAAAAATATGCCATTTCTACTCACATCTCGATTCGCATATTGATGGAGATAGTGACAGAGGGGTGAAAATTTGGTGATAAAATTTCCTTATTAAAAAAATGCATGGTATTCGATACGTCACCAATTTCTTGGTTTACTACGTTAATCTCGTGTTCCATTTTCATATGGACGAGATGAATTGATTTATCTCTTCAATTGCGTGCAATTTCCTCCATGCAATAAAACTTTCTTTAGAGACGGTTTGTTGAGAAGAGAATATTGCTTCTCATTTTGGGCAATATCGCCATTGCATGTAAACGTTGAACAAAGTCGTGCATATTGTGCATGGTGGTGGTGGTCTCGCTCGCTTCCCCACCCAAGCCATGTATACGTATGCGTTGGATAAAAACTAGTTTTTGCCTGCATTTAATCAATGCTAGCAAAATTCAGTCAAAATGCACACAAAATCCACAATTAGCAGAATCAATAACTTCAATTAATTATTCATAGAATTTTTGAGGGATGTTCAGCTACTCCTTTTCGGCCCGACTGTGGGGGTTATATAAAGCGCCACCATGGTGACCAAAAACCAACCAACTAATAAATAATAATAATATTGCACCAGAGTGATTTTCGAGCCACCATTTGTCTCATCCCTATGAGGAATTTAGACTGCATAAAATTAAATCTCAATGTGCGTAAAGCACTTAAATAATGTATGCATGGTACAAAATGGGATAAAATAATAATTGTTACATATTTATTAAAATTTGTAAATTAATTTACTTTTGCAAACTATTTAAATCAGATCTCTCTGCTTCCTCGACACTTTATTTATTTCAGATAAAGATTAAGCAAGGTTCGGTTAAGTTAGGTTAGATTAACGCCTTGCCTGCTAACTATATTACATTCACATAGTTATCAAAACAAGATCCAGCCACCGGTTAAGTGACAGGCATCTAGTTGCAAAAATGTCATTAGCAACTATATTTCGAAAAATAAAATTCTTCTCAAGTTTCTCTCATGCCAACCAATATTACAATTTGGAATTTTATATGGCAAAATTTTGAATTTTTCTACCAAAATGTGAGATTTTTCCAATACCAAGACAATGTTAAAAAGTGAGTTTTCTGTGCAAACTCAAGACTTTTTTCTGGTAACGACATTAGTGGCACAATTTAAGGCAAGCAAGAGGTTAAGCGAACTTATTAACTTTTTTCTTCGCCTGCACATGCAAAAAATATACACATTAAAACCACACATTTTTTAAAGGTGATTCTAAATATTACACAATATTAATTCTAGTAATTGGCCAACCTTTCTTAATTAAAGCAGGAGGAGGAGAAAATGCACGTTTTGCTGGGGAGAGATTAAAATGAGACAAGATTTAACTATGTTGCTAGATCCTCCTCAACTTTATGTATGTATCACTTTTTAAAATTCCGTTAAAAAGTAGAAATCCTGCTTATAGCGTAAACACAACTGTGCCTTGGTCGAGTTCAAGGATATCTACAGTACAATCCTGCCCCACTAACAACCTGTCTCGGACTTAGATATTTATTCATTAAAGAGATGACTGGATCGACGCCACTTTTTAGGGAGAAGAAACTCGCCCACTAAATATGTCCGATGGCTTACTTGTGAACATTTTGCAACACAAACAAGAAATAAATTTACTTGTTTTTTTTTCTACCTCTGGGTCACCCATGAATAGGTGCTTTTTAGCGAGACCGACCTCAGAAAGCGTCAGCCTCCTGTCACGGCTACATCTTAAGGGAAACCCCTCTTCAATTTATTTCTGGTAAGTGACGGATCAGTAAAATTTTGGGGGGTGGGGTCAATTTTGGGTCGAGTTAGGTGCCCAACTCTTTTTTTTCCTCGCGACGGATGAATACATATTTTATGTGACATATTAATTTTTTTGTGTGTTATCACTTTGGTTGTTTAGGTTTACTAAATTATTAGGCAGGTTACGTTTTTAGAATTTCCGTAACGCTCCGTCTCTCTTGATAGTGGTCAAATTTTCGGGAACAAATTGGTGGTGGTGCGGGGTAGTTTTCACATTTTCCAAATGCATTTTGAAATTGTTGACCACTCTCAAGAGATACGGAGCATTTCTAATAATGAAGCTGCACAATCTGCCTAATGACAGATCAAAATCATACTAGATTTTAAATTTAGGTTGAATTTTCCCCAAAAAATATTGAATACAATTTCTATTACATTTGGAACTCAATATTTTTCGAGCTCAAGATATGAAGAAAAAGGTGTGCGGTGAGTACTTGCCGTACTTAGAATGAGAAATTATATTAAATATGTTTTTACGAAAATTCAGTCGAAATTGAAAATTTTGCATGATTTTTTTTTGTGAAACTACGTGATATTGTGGTTGCTACAAAAATTATTGAGCACTTATCTTCACAAAAAAGTTTGTTGATTTTCCACGGCGTTTATAATTCCACCCCCACCCTCACCCAATTTCACCCCCACTGAGGGTGGGGGCTGATTTGGGTGGGGGTGGGGGCGGATTTGGGTGGGGGTGGGGGTGGATTTAGGTGGGGGTGGTGGGTGAAATTGGGTGAGGGTGTGGGCGGAACGCCGGATTTTCCATGGGATTTTCCACCAAATACCTTTTCCACTCTAGTTATTATTATTAGATATTTTTCTAAATATTAACCAAATACATCTCTTAACCCCTTGCCTACCAACTGCGTCACATAATTCACGAAGTTACCAAAACAAAGTCCAGCGACCGGCTACGTGAGAGTCATGTACCTAGTTGCAAAAATGTGGTTAGCAATTATGTTTTGAAAAATAAAATTACTTTAAAGTTTCTCCCATAACAAAATTTGGAATTTTTCTACCAAAATATGAGATTTTTCCAATACCAAGATTATGGGTTTTGAATTTTTTTGAGTTTTCTGTACAAACTCGAGACTTAAAACTGGTCCCAGTTACCATCACCAAGTCCATTAGTGGCCCAATTTAAGGTAAGCAAGTGGTTAATCGTTGTCTGTTCCTATCTAGTTGCAGGTCAAGGTCACTCGGTCGGGTGACACACTCCTCCCACTAAATCAAAATGCTGCGTCGTATCGCTCTCGCATTCCTCTTTCTCGCCGTGGTGAGGGCGGAAGAGGTGAAGCCTCTTGCTCAAGATGAAGTTACCCGTGGGGGTGGGGGCGGCGGCGATGGATGGTCGCAACAATACCACTACAGCGCCCACCCAGGCGAAGGTGGCACCTACGCCGGCCTCTCGTTCGATCTGAGCACCGGACTTTTCCTGGGGATCGGAGCCATCATTCTCCTCCTCGCCTTTGCCGCGGGTAATTAAAATTTATTATGGTAATTTGTGGTACGGTTTCCACTCCTTTGGAATAAATTGCCGGAATTTTGGGACGGTATTTTGATTGAAATTCCCTGAATAGTGGATTAAGTCTCGGGAAAATTTGGAAGTTTAAAATTTCCAAACCTCCCGGGAGCGGTACACCCCAAGTTGTAGCTAGTATCTGATTTATATTTCTAATTACTTTTCACAGTCTGTTATCCAGCTTTAAGCAAGGGTGGTGGTGGTGGGGACGGATGGGGAAGTAGTTACCCATCTTACAGATCCCTTAACATGGCCAGCGTGTCGGAAAAGGTGCTCAACGCTGTAGAGAAGGCGTACGACCTTTACAACAAAAACCAATAATTGGTAAGTATTTAGAAGAAAGATTTATGCTAATTAGTAAATTTGTGAAATTATCCGTCATGTTTACACCTGTGTCATGCTCACCCTTTGGTAAAGTTTTGCTTTAATATTTATTAGTAAAGTGGAGACAGTTATAATTGATTAAATTAAATGGGCATAGTTTCTAAAGCCGCTTTTTGGATTGGATTAAGGTCAAAGTGATGTTGACGGGTTGGATTAGAAGAACCAGTTTTCTTCCGTAGACATTTCCACATTCATATTTTGACTGAGGATTGAGACGAGAAGGAATTTAACGTCTTTATTTTATATCCTTTATTTTACAGATTGGACTAAATCCAAACCCACACCTTGTATTTCTTTTTTTCTCCACTTCTTCAAGTTCAAGCCGGTTGGAAATTTTGTCACGTGGTGGGGGGAACCAACCTACATGACATATGCGGTACTGGGACAACTTTTACGAAATGACGGTTAAAATTTTATGACTTTTACAAAAACATGGACCTCCTTCAACCACCAGACTGACTTAGGGGACATTTAGACTAACGATGATGACACCATGTCTCAAAACCATGACGGACGACGCATTATATGTACGTGACGACTCCTCAAGACAAGATTATCTACGACTTGGAAATAAATTAAAGATGACAACTATGGGACATTTTACTAACAAGACGTAACATTATGACGATACTGATCCCCATCCCCCCCCCCACCATGGATAATCAGCAGGCACGTCCTTATTTCTCTGACCTAAAACAATTGGATTTATTGTTGACTAATTTGTATTTCAAAGTTTTTTTTTACTATTTTACTTTTTTAATGGTTGATCATATTTAAATATTTATTCTCAAAATTTATTTTAGTCAGAAAAAATGCAATAAAAATTCCAAAATAATGATATAAATCTCACCACATTTTCTTTCTCGGGCAGAAAAGATTATCAGCCCGTATCACAACTCCTTAAGCCAGGCGAGGATGGACCTCTCTTTTTCAACTAAACTTCTAAATACATATCCTTCCACATATATTTATAACACGACAAAAAATCCGGTGTAGTCACATACCCACCCCGCGTGTGGTGTCATTTTATCACCATTTGGTGTAAATTTTTCCCCTTGTGTTGTCAATTCATCACCGTGTTGTGTTAATTTGTCCCCAAGTGTTGTTAATTTGTCCCCATGTGTTGTTAATTTGTCACCGTGTGGTGTTAATTTGTCACCATGTGGTGTAAATTAATCCCCATGTGTTGTTAATTCGTAACCGTGTGGTGTTAATCTGTCACCTTGTGCTGTCAAAAATTATTGATACCAAGGCGGTGGAGTCACATATGTGTCCACCCCGCGCGGTGGTGTTAAATTTTACACCGTGTGATGTAAATTATGACACCATTGGGGAAAAAATTGACACTATACGGTGACCAATTAACACCAAAAATAACACTATTAAATTTACACGAGCAGATTTTTTGCATTGTACGATCGCAATTGCTACATGAGGCTGAAATAATGAATGAAATCTAGACACGAACATAGCCAGAGGCCATCTGATAAATTCTCACTGGGGGAGAGCAGCCTTACAGAATTTTGAGGTAGAGTTTTTGTCAAGCAAAAAATGTATGTAGTCTAAATATTGTAGGAGAAGATTGCTCCTAATTACGGGTGGCAAATGTCCCATGATTGCGGTGAGGTATGTATAAATCTTTTAATGTAACTGTTACCTCTATTCTGGACCATGATACTGGTATGTAGAACTAAATAATCTAGCGTGTACTAAATCCAGAAGACCCATTGTCACTCAATACTATAGCTGGCCCACTGTATTTTACTCAACTTTGGCGCGCTCGTTCTCGTGACCCGAGCAATATTTTTGAGTGCAATATTTTTTATCTGCTTACCAACACGTGTAGTTATAATTTGTCAACTTTACAGTAGTGTCGGTTTGATAATGCCGCAGAAACTTCAACCAGAATGGGAAGGTCGCGTTTTAGCACTTTCTGACCTTAATTACTCGACCAGGGAGGTCAGGAAATTACTTTTGACCCAAAATATAGTCATAAGTCAAAAAACAATTAATAACATTGTGAATTGTGTTGGAAAAAGACGTCGTGCAAAGTCGGCTGGGCAAAAATCCCCCACAAAACGGCAACGCCTAAATGACGCCAATCGGAAGGCGGTGAAGAAGATTGACCTGCTGACCAGGAAAGAAAATCCACCATTTCAGAAACAAATTGCAAACATCGTCGGTATCCCCAGGACCAGTGTGCAACGAATAATTAAGCGTTTAGGCAAACGCATCGCTTTCAAAACCACCGTTCGTTCCCTTAATCCAAAACAGATGCAAAATCGAAAGACCAATTCAAAAAAAATTATTAGAAATATTTGGCCGGCGATAAGGCAGAATATGTGGTGACATTGGATGAAGCAATGTTTTATGTGCAAAATTGCAACGGGAAGAGAAAAGTTTGTTACGTCAAACGAGGAGAAAAAATTCCCGAAAATTGGGTGGTGCAGAAGGACAACTTTTTGAAGAAACACATGGTGGTCGCCGCAATGACAGGGCGTGAGGTCATACCATTATTTCAAGTGCCCAAAAAAGTTAAGGTTAATGCAGACTGGTATATTGACAAAGTTTTAAGACCATTGGTGAACATCCATCTCCCCCGTATTTATGGTCACGAGCTCCATAAGGTCGTCATTCATCATGACAAAGCTTCTTCGCATACGTCACACAAGACAGCCATTTATGCGGCAGATATCAAACGGTCAAAGGGAATAACAATTATTCCAGGTTCAGAAATCCCAGTCAAGTCCTCCGATATAAGTCCACTGGATTTTTTTGGATTTGGCTACCTAAAACAAAGGCTTTCGAGACGACGCGCACGCACTTGGAAAGGGGTTTGGAAAGTGCTGAATAAGGAGTGGAAGAAAGTGACCCCTGAATTATGTACCAAAGTGTTCAAGGCATGGAAAAGAAGACTTCGTCTAGTAGCTAAAAGCGATGGCCGACATATTGAGAACAATCGGACATTCATAGTCGAAAACGTTAAGGTAAAATTTGGATTTCAAAGTGAGTAAAATAGAGTGGGCCGGCTATTGTATTTGATTCGTGCGTGACAGTTTTTTTGTCAAATATCTGAATAAAATCCGGGTTCAGTGCATCTACCGGTATCCGGGATGCATTCTGGTGTATCTAAGCTGGAATTGGGACTAAATGTTAGTCATCATCTCCCACTTGAGGAAGACACTTGTCTTGCGAATTTCCAAGTATTTTTGTTTAATTTTGACAACTTGTTAATAGACAGTGAGTTGACGATTCATACTTTTTTTGGAAACTTGGGAACAGGCGAGAGACTGGATAAGGTATGTTGAGTGCATACCTATATTTATTTTCATATCATACAACTTGACTAAATATACACAAATTATAATTAAAATTAATGTTGTGCGTACTCACGCATCGCAACACAATTTTGCGAATTTGCGACGTTTGACGTGAGTCCATTTCGCAAAAAAAAATCGGTCAGACTTTATTTCTGTCATCAAAATGTTATCGTTTCCATGGCGTTTGTCTTTAATTTTGAAACAGTGTTTTGCAAAATTATCACAAAATAATTAATTATTAATTAATTATTAATTAATTATTATCAAAATTATTATTTGATTATTAATAAAAACAAGCCTTCGAGCGTCGCAGATTGCCAAAGCTTCAGAAACGTAGTTTGTATGGGAAATTTTGCGAAATTTCGCAAACTTCGCAAGTTATGTTGCGATACTACGGTGACGTGAGTACGCCCAATAAATATATCCAAATTAAACATATGTAGCAAATTAATTGTCTAATTTATTAAACGCTTTTCCGTATCAGAATGCCCTTTCAACTCAACTCGATCCGAGAAGCTATGAAAATTGCGGCAAAGTTTGGTTTGGTGACTGTTGGTGAGACCATCACTGGCGCCACGGCTGTCCTAATTTTGAACGACATTGTCACCAAGCTGGCCCACCTTGGAGGGGAGGGTGAAGTGAGGATGGAGGACTTTTTGAATGCTGCCGCCCGCTGTGGATTTAGTCGAGAAGTTGGCCTAGCCCTATATAATGTCATGGGATTGTTAACATGATAATATGATTATTTTATTACTTTTCAAACATTCAATTGTTGTTTTTCAACACTCATCAGCATTACTTTTCCAAAATTTTTATACCATTGAAATTTCATTATCAGCAGTTCAACTTTTTAGCCCGAGCCAGGGCTTATGGAACCGTCTTTTTGTCCGTCTGTGACACGCTAGAGGACGAACCACTGGGCACACTTAAGATTAGGCAAAACAACGTCCATCGTCCTGCGTCAATCAAATTTTTCTTGTATCCATCGTCCAGCGTACTGCGTTCATCCACTTCTTTATTGTGTCCATCGTCCATATGGACAGTAAAGCGTCCATCGTCCGCATGCATGGGCAATTATGCGTACATCCTTCACCACGCATAGATACCTAATTCTTTCGCGAGTGCACATATTGATGCCATTAGGGAGAGATTGATGAAGTGCCACTGAGGAACTTAAGAGTTATTAATCATTGAGGGTATTCATTAGTTATTTGCAAGTTCGCATCGCAACATAATTTTCAGGATTTTGCCAAGTTTGCGATGTAGTCATGTGAACTGACTTGGCAAAATTGTTCGCAAAATTGTTCATTTACTTTTGCAAACTTTTTTTGCTCAGGAAAAACTAGCCCTGGTGATGCGCAAGTTAGCAAAATTATTTACCAAGGAAAAATCTTGCGAATTTTGCGAACTTTATTTTTTTACGAAGTTGAATACCCTCATTATTTACTATAACATATTAAAAATCGATATATTACATCGATTTTTGCAAAATAGCCTGCATAAATCACCATTCTGAACTATTTAATATATAAATTTGTTTTGAATTCAAAGCTTACCATATTTTCATATTGTGTCTGTTTAAATGAATTTTTATGTAAATTTCTAAATTACTGGAAAAAAATCAAGTTTTACATACCAGAATGCTCAGGAGGCTAGGGAGATTAAGATTATGAATTATACTTTTTATACAAGTAAAAATCAATAAATGTCACAAATAATCAAGTGGCGAATTACACACATTTGTGTACTATTTTGCTTTCCCTTGGGGACGAGATGCACACATTTGTACTGCAAACATTTCCTGGACATCAAAACTCACAAAATCTCAATTTTGGGGTTTTTCTGTTGTATTTTTTGGAAATCTCAATAGAGGTTTACAAATCCTTGACTTACAACCCGTGCTGAAATATTTGCCTTTTTCCTGTATAAACTTCTGTGCCGCAAATTGGCTCAATTTTGTGCAGAAATTTTCATGCACAAATATTTTATGCAAAAAATTACTGTGACTAATCCTGCAGAAATTATTTTTCAGTAAAAAAAAGTTAAATTTTTTTGAATCTGAAATTCGTATTTTCTTATGCAGGATATCACATATTATTCTAAATTTTAACATTGTATTACCTCATATCACTTACTAATACTTACCATTTCACCTTTACTTAAATCTGATGGCATGTTCAAGCGTTAACTATAGTAAAACATTTGCACAGAATGAATTCACAACTTTATTGTGTCCATCGTCCATGTTCATCGTCCATCGTCCATCAACTTTTTCTTGCGTCCATCGTCCATCGCCCATATGGACAATTATGCGTCCATCGTCCATATGGACGGGCGTCACGCCGATGTGTGATTGTTGTGAACCTCCCTCTCGTATAAATTGCATCATCATTCTCTCTTGGTCTGGAAGGATTTCTTCCAGTTAGTTTAGAATTTTGAAATTGTTAAAAGTGGTGGTCAAGGTGATTGCTTTGAAAATTTAGTGCCAAATAGTTGGAAAAATTGATACTAATTAATTGGAAGATTAGGTGCAAAATATTCTTAATTTTGAAGGTATATAATCGGATAATTTGATAGAGAATAAATCAGTAAATTCTATCTCAAGTCTGCAATGTACGCTTTATTCCATAATTATTGCAATAACTACCATAATTCTCGTGACTAAAAATTACGTAACCTAACTTAACCTTGTGTACTGCTGTTCTTGGAAGTTCTGAAGATTAATACTTGTTTGTGCATGGGTGACAAATATGTATCAATAAATCTAAATTTATACAAACTCAAATCTCAGGTTCATTGCTTAGTTTATTCTGGAATGATTCCAGGAACAAGATCCACCTCTATATTGACTAATTCATTCCCAAATTTATCGCGCAGTACTTACATTTAATCATCTCGGAATGAATAAGAGCTCTTGGAGGATGAGGCTTCTTGGAATAGTAAAATCCATACCATTCATTCATGTTGTGATTTGCTATGTTGTTGTCCATAATTTACTCAGATCCCAAAGGTCAAGAAAATAGGCTATCATTCCGAGAATATTTACTGCCTCAAACCACTCCGTATTTAAAGAGTTGACTGCCCAGTCCAAGGATATCACTCTCATCGCCGACTTAAAAGAATCCATAACCAACACAAATTTAAAATTATTATTACTACACTTGCAAAGACATAAAGTCTGTTCAAAAATGAAGTCCGTCGCAGTTTTTCTAATTGTTATTTACACTTCTGGAATTGTTAACTGGTAATAAAGTCTCTCCATGAAAAAAAGGGGTTTACAAACGTCGATTTAGGTTTTAAGTCATTTAAAAAAATGCAAATTAAAAGTTAGTTTTTGAGATTTTTGACTTATAAGTGATGGAAAAATAAGTCGGTCCTGGAAACTTATTTTTCCACCACTTAAAAAATCTAAAACCTCCCTTTTAATTGGCATTTAAAAAAATTACTTATAAGTGACAAACACTTTTAAGTCGACGTTTGTAAACCCCTAATAATTTATTCCAAATAAATATATAACTGACAATTTTCATATCATACATACTGACAATGTTCATTTCTTTTTTTACCTGGCAATTCTAGTTGTTCAAAAAAGAAGGAGGCCGGGACCGTTCATCCCACCCAGATCTACCCCACTCCATTCCCGAGTGGGGTACAGGTCGAAGGAAACTATGGACAGTGGAAGTTGACGGGGACGGAAGTGGTGGCCGGTGGTGGAGGCGGGTTCGGGCGTAGCGTCGAGTTCAACGTGATGGCCATGAATTTGCAGACGAAGCATAACTTTTTCTGCAAATTTTCTTGTAACCCGACCGGCTGTTCGGCAATAAGCAATAATTCGAACATGAAGAGAACATTCTACCAACAAGTGCTAGAGCGGGTGGGAAGCAATGTCCAAATGTACAGGAGCTGTGGTCCCAGAATCATTTCGGACACGCGGGTCTGCGGAAATCAGGCCGTCTTTACTCTTCATTAAGTTATTGCAATATGTCCAATAAGTTACTTGTTTTGATTTGTGGTATTAAATTGTCCTGTTTAACATAATTTTTAGCAACTGCGGGAAAATGTATAAAATTAAATTATGTGGTTAGCTAGATAATAAATTTCGTGTGAACTACAAAGGATTGAATAAAAACAGGTAACCAAATATATTGGCGAGAGAAATGGTGGTCAGGTTGATTTATGATACAATTATGGTAGTGGCATCCAAATTAGGAAATTACGCATCGCATTTTAAGTATAATGCATTTATCAATTATTATGAATTGCCTTAGTTTTGTAACAGTCAATATGTTTTTTGTGCAATTTTTTTTTAATTGACTGGTTGTCTATTGCCTAATTATATATTGGCCGTGCTGTTGGCAAATATGTCAAATCTGGTAAATTGGGTATAGAAACGTAATATGCCAAGTTTACCAAATTTGCGAGATTTTGCAAAACTTTTGGCTAAAAAACCATGTGATTTATTTCCGCTAATTTACTCAACTCCAAGCCATGTATTTATTTGGCAAACATATTTCGCAAATGACAAAGTTGCTTTGCGACATAAGAACCTGACGTGAGTACTGCCATTGTAATACATTTTTCATAGGGAAGATGCTTGCATGAAAATTTGCATGGGACCTCATAGCGTGGAACGTTGAGATGGTGGTGGTATGATGAGGAGGGTGGAGCGAACGAGAACTGCATCGGTACATTGGAAAAAAACCAACAGTGCGAGAGCAACTCATGTGTTTAAGATTACAATATAATAAACTAATTAAGTAAAAGTAGACATATCTTTTCTTTTTTTAAATAATTGGTATCAACATTAATTATGCATTCCAAAGCCGCTAAAAATAGGCGGGTGTTGACTGAAAAACAGATAAATGCAGAATTTTTCGTACCTGCTAAATTATGGCAGCATAAGTTTGTGGATGGCAAATGGGAAAAAATTGGCGAGCAGGTCTTACCAACGGAAAAGTCGGTACGTAAAGAAAACTGGCCTCCATTAGTTGTTAACCATTTAAAGCGGAGGAGGACAATTTTCGTTCTCATGGTAACAGCCAGCGGCGTAGCCAGGATTGGGTCATGGGGGGGCTCAGCCAGAAAATTATAGATTACTCAAGTATAGGCTTTTTTAGCTTTAACATTTCTACATGCATTCAATTTCCAAATGGATCATACCATTTTAAGTAACATTTTACCACCGAATAAATATATAAGCGCATCTAGTTTAGCACTATGTATGTATGTTTTAAAAACCACCAAGTTGTCATGCAATTAATTGGTAGTCTTGTCTTCAGAGAACCATACGCACTGTCACATCTCGAGTTCCTTCCATACAATCTTAATTGACAGATGATAGTGTAACTTAAACTTTGTCATTACACAAGCGTTGTAAAATAACGTCATCTCATTCTCGCGGACGTGATTTTCCGAAAATCTGTTTCGAAAAAATTTCGAAATATTTTTCGAGAACTGCAAATAAACGTGTAATTCTAATGCTGGTTTAGTATAAATAACGGTCTGGTGATGAAATATTGATACATTATTACCTGTCAGTAATTTCGTGTTGATCTACAAAAAATGATGCAAACGTTTGCCAGTTTTATGAAATCTGCATAATTACGTGAATTTTGCTTAGTTTGTTTCTTAAATTCAAAAATAATTCAAAAGTGGGACTTCTCTTATAATGTGCAAAGAAGGTCTTAAACAAAATTTCTTTCTTATTGCAAAAGACTGGCCTAAAATTTCAAATTTATAGTAAATTACAATGACCATGCTGTTATATTTTACTTATTTCTCAATATTGAGAGTATTCATTTCAAGTTCGCGTCGTTAGAAACGTTTGTAAAAAATAAAGTTCGCACGTTCGCCAAAAAATTGGTTGGAAAATTTATATGCGAACTTGCGGATTTCCGGGGTTAGTACTTAGGATTAGTTCGCAAAATTATCTTGCCAAAAATGTTTCACATATGGTACATTCGCTCAGAAGTGGAACTGCGCCATTTTAATATCCACTGCGCAGTTAGTAGCTGTTGTTTAGTTTTATTATTTTTTGAAACGCAATTTCAAGGGCTACCAGCTGGTGTAAAGCATTTTTAATTAAAATGGCGAAACTCAAGAGAATTCTAGGGGAAAGTGAAAACCTCGCGAATCGAGTTTTTCAAAACTCCAAAACCGTCGCTCGACGCGACTCGAAAAAGGTATGACAGTATTTCAAAACGGATGAATATTCCAAAACGACAATCCACGTTTATATTTCGAAGTATAAGGATGCCACAAAGTGAAATTAAACAACATAATTAGGCCGCCCCTCGTCATAGCAACCCACCAAAAAGTGAATTCCATAAAAACTCGCTTCCCCAGCAACTCTTCCACGTCAATTCGTGGTACTACAAGGAAACTGAAAATTTCAAAAAGTTTGCTCCGCAACATTAAAGTTCGTAAATTGGGGTTTACAGAAAAAATTAAACAAAGTCCCCTAAACTACGTTAAAGCTAAAAAAATCACAGTTCGAAAATGTTGCAAAAAACTGTATCGATAAATGTCATAAGAAATAACCTGCAGTAATGATGAGACCTACATCAATGACCCCTAACCCCTAAAGGACACCGGGAAAAGCATTTTTCCAATCAGCTGACCCTGCGGATCTAGGTACTCTAACACTCGCTCCTAGGCAAAAAAGCTGAAAAGATTCGAACGTTAATGGCAAGAAATCAGCAAGGACATTTGGCAAGCGACTGGAAATTTGCAAATGGAAGGGTTGTATCGGGAATTCAGATTGATTGCCAACAACGGACTAGAGCAAATCCTCCGGAACAAAAACGGAGGGGCATGATGTACACCCACATTTCGCCAAAGGTTTCATAAATATCTGCTAGCCAGGTCGAACTCTACATGTCATTTTGGCGCAGTTCTACTTCTGAGCCAATGTACCATATATCAGGAATTTTGAAATGGGACGATTTGTAAATGTAATTTAGTTACCAAAGTTTTGCCTTTTGAAATTTTTGAAATTTCTGATTTAACAAATTTTAGATGCAAAACTTCGGTAATTAGTGGAAATTTTCAAATTTTTCTCATTTGAAACTTCGAGAAAATTTTGCCCATTTTCGAAGTGTCATCAGTTCGAAATATTCGCAATATTCGAAATATTCGCAATTTCGACAAATGTATGCTGCAATGCGAGCTTTCGAACTTCTGAAGTTTCTGAAGCGTTTGGAAATTTCGGTTTTTAACGTGGTTCAAAATAATTTTTCCACACATCACACCAACCAGTTGACAATTTTTCCAGTCTCCTAAAAGCTTAAAATCTCCAATTGGGCAAATGGAAAAGTTACTCTGCTAACTATATGAAAAACTGAAAATGTGCAACCTTTTCTGAAACTTGAAAAAATAATCATAGCATTTAATCTTATTTTCATGAAAGTGTGAGGTCCGATTTTTAAAATTCACTCCAATTTCGCTGCCATACAGACAAATATTTAAAAATGTTTTTTTGCACTTAATAAAAAAAGTTAAATTTTGTTGCAAATGAAAACACGAAAATTTAGAAAACTTTTAGGATTTTCACAATTTCTGAAATTATACTGGCAAATTGTTTCGTCACCATTTTACATATTCATAAGAATGAAGTTACGGAAAGGTAAATAAGTTCTAAATATTTCATCATTCCAACGGCAGTGCTATTTTTAAAAAAGCGTAGGAAAAGGCACATATTTTAGTACAGCTCTCGCCAAATATTTCGCGAAATTGTGATTTTTGCACCGTATGTTCAAGTTTCCTAGTATCCTAGGTTAAGACGCTATTTCATCGTCATAGAGTTTTCAGTCTCACCCAACCCTTGTTCTTTGTCTTTAAATGCAAATTCTAAAACTTCATCGACGTCTTGAGTTTTGAGAGAAAAATGCAACTTTTGATACTTTAATGTAAAGTTAATTTTTGGTACTACAAGCAAGTGAATTTGAAAAAATTAGCAAATTCACTTGCAATTTTTGCACAATGAATTTCCTCAAAAAATTAATTGCATTACTCTCAAAACTCATGAAGTTGATGACGTTTTAGAGTTTGCATTTAAAGACATTGAACAATGGTTGAGTGACACTGAGAACTCTATGACGATGAAATGGAGTCTTAAGTTACCCGAAATTTTCTCCCAATTAGTACCAGACGAAAAGAAATCAAGAAATGATAGTGTTTCGCTCGTAAGCCTCTGTATTTACTCATCCGGACAGTTTTTTTTAGCTAGAGATAAATTTAAACATAACCTGAAATGTTTTATCTGGGTTTCTTAATGTGAAGGAACGAACATTAAGAAACCAGACCGCTGACTGCTGACTGACCGCTGACTGATGACCAGCCTATGTATTCATAAGCTGGTCAGCACCATCATAATGTCCAGATATTGATTGTTTTGAAAGGAAACTTTGCGCAAGCCCGACCACATCGAAATTCGCATGTGGCAGAAAAACTGCATGGCAATTGTTAAATAAAAATTTGATGACTAAAAAATGGAAAATATGACCTTAACCTAGAAAACTCGCTTATTATTAAGACATATAACTTCACGTTTATACCTTTAATTTGTTACCTAATTTTCAGTTTTAAATTGTATTTTTATTTTCGTATTTTATTTTATTTTATTTTATTTTTAATTTGTTAATTTGTTTTTTAATTAGTTTTCCTGGCTCTGGGGGGGGGGCTCAAGCCCCCCTAGCCCCCCCCTTGGCTACGCCCCTGTTTGCGATACATAATTACCAAAATTCTGAAGTTTAGAAGATTTCCATTATTTGATACACCACCAATTATCCTCGCAATTACATGGTTTCCGGGGGGTGGGATTGGAGGTCATTGATATCAGTGGGTTGGTTTGTCTAGCTCAATAGCTTGGTAACGACACCCCACTCGATAGGGTACAAAATACACAAAAAATTCTAACCATGGGGTGCGGTTGGGGGTTACTTTCAGGGAAGAAAATGGGATGCGGTTCAGCTAGTCACATAAGCAACATCTCTTAGCAAATGGTTATGTTGTATAAATAAAATAGCATCAGCATTCGGGTAAAACGAGTTTGAAACATTTGAAAATATGTTTCAATATATGAATTGGAATAAAGGTAAATTTCAAAATGAATTTCAGCCGTCCCAAAGTTTAGCATCAAAACAAATGAGAAGTGTAAAATGTGATCGTACCCACTTTATTACATTGTATCCCACGTCACCTATACTGTGTGGCAATCCTACTATAAAACGTTCAACATCAATTCTTATCTGGGCCGGAGATCTTTTCGTAATGTCCCGTTATCTGCAATATAATATTTATTACACCTACTGAAATCAGCCACGTTGCATAAAGACATCACAGTGCTAAGTGTTTCGTGTGGTTAAAACCACACTGCATAGGTCGGCGTCCAAAAGGTGGTTTTAACCACCTTTTGGACACCGAGATTTAATGGTACAAATAGTTGAAAGTGGTCAATAGGTCATATCAATATGAAAAGATATAAATTATGAAAAGGGTCCAGACATGGAGAGTAATGATGGCGTGCCTGTTGACATGAATTAATTACGAATTATAATCGCAATTAGGTACGATTCTGCCAAATTCCAACTCCCCAAGCCGACCGGGTCATCCCCGAATTTCCTTGAGGCTTTAGTAAGCAAAATGAATTTGTTGAATCTTGCATCAATCTTGTCCAAAACTGAGACAGGATCTGGATGAGCGGCTTCATCAAAGTAAAAATGGATCGCAGATCCAGCGACGAACTGTGAGGCGGTCGGGTCCCCTAAAATGGTATCGGTCCAGTTTTGAATATATTCACGATCGTCGTCTAGGATCATGAGGGAGAAATTGGTGGACGTGTTGTACCCGGCGGCTCGGAGATTGGGACCTAGATGTTGCGTGATAAAGTCCCGTTCCTTGGCTGCCGTGAAACCGCACGTGTTCCAACGGTGAGCAAACACGAATCCGGTCATGGGCTCGTTTTGGACCGTCATTCCCCACACGTCGACACCCGCATCCTTGTACGCGTCTAGGAATCTAGGGCGACGAAAATGTATTAATTTTTAAAATGTTTTTTTCTAGAAAACTAAACGTTAAAGTTTAAAACATACTTGATCAAATATCTTGAATACGACTCCCAAATAGTGGATCCCGGTCCGTCTCTCAGAGTTCCATTACCATTTACCATGCCGTTTGTCTTCATCCAGGCCGGTGGAGCCCAAGCGGACCGTAAAATTTGACAGGCTGGGCCGCTAACTCCCTGGCCAATTTCAATTGTGGAATCTGAGCAAAGTTATTATGTAAAATTAAAGAGTAACAGTAAGAGTAACAGTAAGAGTAATTAAAGAGTCAAATTAAAGAGGAGGTGCACTATTGGTGCACCTCCTCTTATGGAAAAAAATTCGCTAACCAGTTTCTTGAACTGGCTTTGCAACGGTCAACTTGGATATCAAGAGTTATATTAAGGTAATTACAAGCTCTTGGCAACCATTCTCATCTCATCTAACCTTTACAGAACTATTCTTCTCAGATATTCCACTCAGCCGAGAAATGCAGCCACGTCTCAGCAAACATTTAACGGTGATGGTGATAGCTGCATGTCATCAATATCCTCAAGAAATTGTCGTCCTGCATTATTGTTATCACTCGACTTTGATAACCTTAAAATTGAGCGAACACGGTTGTCCACGTTCTTCTTAAAAAACAAGTGGCCATGTGACTCCGTTCACCCAGAAGCTTGTGCAAAGGCAGGCTTCTTTCATTTGCAAACAGAAGACAAGGTAATTAATTTTACTATTCATTTAGTATGCCAACACATTTTTTTTATCGTCAGGAACTAAAAGCTATGAATTGCTTGTTCATCAGGTTCAATGTGCTTTCTGTCGTGTAATTGTTGGAGAATGGGGAAAGCATGATCATCCACACACTGAACATCAAAGACATTTTCCTAAATGTCCACTTCTACAAGGTCTCCCTGTCGGAAATCTCACCATTCAACAAGACGACGTTATATACGACGTTGAAAGCAACAACGGATACGATGTTTGTGGGCATTAGCTTTTTTTCATATCTCCTTAATGTGAAATAGAGAGAATACGAGTTAATGTAAAATGTCCTAATCTAAATTAATGTAAATATTATACTCCTTAACCGCACTTTTTTATAGTGTAATGTAAATTTGTAAATATGTCTTATTTATTATTTTTTTTGTGTTCGGGGCTTATCCCTTCTCGTACGACCCAAAAATCAAGAAAAAAAACTACACAAAAAGGTACGACGAGAAGGTGGATTATAGTTGTTGGCTTGATAAAACAATTCTGCAAGCACAAATCTAATCCACCAACTCAGAGTGCTTAATCATCATGGATATCACCGTCGTATATCTACTCAACATGTTCTAATATACGACCACACTCACATTCTTAACACATGTGGAAATGCACCATTCAACACAGAGGAGAGATAGTACCTTACATATAAGTATACCACTACCACCATCCAAAACTTTTCCCGTTCTCTTTTTTACAAAATCAGGCTTTGACTAAAAAAATACTTTTTTAAAATTTTCTAATATTTTTTTTGTAAAGCGTAATTTTTGTATTCTCTTCCTCGACTTTGTTTTTTATTATTTGTTCTGATTCGTTTTTAATTAAAAAAAATTAAGTGCAAAAAATGGACGAACCACACCCACCCATTCCCCCGCTCCCCACTCCCGTTACGCCCACCCGTCGATCCCTTTTCGTCCTCAGAGCTGTTATACACACTACTTGAGCTGTAAAAGGAAAATCAGAAGTTACCAATAATCAGTCTGTTACTAACCATATGTGTGGTCTCAAAACGGGTATTAATGAATTCAAATTATGCCACGACCATGAAAGTAATATGCCTTGGAATAATTTTACTTACCCGCCATCGGGACCGCCGACAGGCGGTCTGTTACCGCCTCCCTGGCCATCTACGGTTCTGGAAACAATGACCAGCAACGCAGCAAATTTGATTAAATATTTTTAGTACATTTGGAATAGTATTATTTTTTGGGATAAGTTTTATTTTGAACGTTAAACTCAAGACTCAGACTTCACATAATATAGCATACTCAAGGTTGTGTTAGTTTATAGAAAAGCGACGTTGTCAATAATGAGATACCTATGCGATGTTCTCACCAAGTGCACAACGCATGGGGAATTCCTGTTCGTCGTCATATCCAGTTTAAATTATGCTAAGCGTTGCCACACTAATCTCGGATTAGTTTGTTTCTGGCTATCCATTGTTAATAGTGAGATAAATCACGACCAATCTAAAGTTGATTGATGGCTAATTAACCACAGAGTTTAACAAAAGGCAGCCACACTAGCAGGCATTTAGGGCCAATTCACTATAATAATAATAATAATAATAATAATAATTTTATTTATACTCACTTTAACTCTTAACACTGCATAATGACAACACTGCATAATAACACTGCATACTGAAACGCGTTTGGTAGAGTACTAAATATATTCATACTTTTGTAGAGATATTCTATCCTCTGGATTATATTTCGTGGTGTACCAACGCGCGAAGAAAAGGATTAAGTATTCAGAATTAATTCCCCGGGGAACAGGAAACTAGGTTGAGGCATGTTTAGATTTTCGAAAATTATTAATTTAAATGCATTATTTGTAATATTTGTAACAATTATCACGTAAACATTTCCAGCGGGGAAGAAACGTTTGGTATCTTTTCTACATTTAGTTTCTATATTGTCGAATTTATACGCAAATTGGTATCCAATCGGACAGCTGCGTTCTGTATTTTTGAACTGTCGGCATCTATGGTCGAAAAAAGGTTCCCTGGATATCTGCAAGGCGGAGTGGCTGACCTTAACAGTAACGGACAGTAACAGTTAAAAAAATTTCTTATTAATTCTTGATAAAATTTCTGTTTTGGAGTAAGGACCCTGCTGTACCTCCACTTCAAAATATTAGGTGTTTGACCTTGCTGTTGCCACTCAAGCAGGTCACAAAGTCAAATAACGTGAAATATAATTAAACATAAAAAGTGGAATATTATTAGGAATTGTTATCGAAACTTTGTCGTAGCTCTTTTTGGAACTATATATTTATCGTTTGTCTTCATAAACCTGTCGTGTTTTACTAGTTGCTGGAAGGAAGGTTTGGCGCAATTCAAACACCCCACGGCTTAACACACCTCCACGGTTTGCAGCTGGTTAAACATGGCCTAGAAGTAGGATATTATGTACAGATTTGGTCCTGGTTGTCAGTTTTGGAACACCTACTTCCAAACAATGCCGAAGTTCAAGAACTGAAGGACAAGACAATTTTTTCACATGATGAAACCTACAAAGTTAAAAAGTGAGTCAATTACATATAAGTATGCTGCTGAGAAAAAGGCCCTTCTGCGCTGGAGCTGTTTTTCTTAGGAGAGAGAAAACAAGAAATGTGCACAAAACCAATCTAATGTATAATTGCCCAGAGTATGTGTGTTAGTAGCTTAAATTTTTATTATGCGCCATCATTTAGAAAGTGATAACTATTAAGCGACTCGGTTTCGATATTCGTCCACGCCCTCACGTCGGGGTGTGTCAAATTGTCAAATGGTAAAAAATTCAAATTTGCAGAATTTAACAAACTGAGCGCTTTACTCGGTGTGTTCTCACGTTACCCTATTTCAATAATTACTTATGTCAATTCGTAACCTATGATCCGAGGGCAAACTGTTCATGTTATGACAATAATTTTGTTTGTTATTCTTCATGCAATATTATTAGAAGATGGCACGACATGACGGGCATTATGACTAGTAAGATGACGTCACTGAAAATTGTTTTCCAAATTGCGCTCTTCATATTTGACGAACGGTGGTGTAGCTTGGACTAATTTGGGCGCCTGTGTATCCCCCTCCTAACCCACTTAAAAACTGGAAATCAAAATTTTTAGCAGAAGGGCCTTTATCTCAGCAAGGGTCACATATTCTCAAGAATTTTAACAACTATTCGCGAATTTCAGGACTAGGTACTGTTTCACACATCCACTAGCTCAGATGGTTTCGGGACCCCTGCATCACGTCCAGATTGTTGAAATGTATCAAAGCGGCTTGGGCAGTGGGTTACCATTGGAGAAGAACTTTGTTTCTTACACATTGTGCTCTAATTCTTCCTTGGCGCCGGAACCAAAGGCAAAGTTTCACTGTTGGAACGATCACAGCTCTCATCCCTACTTTGCAATAAATCCAGTAAAGACAGAACTACTCTTTGACTCGCCACCAATCTATCAATTTCATGACATTGTGGGCGACCAATGGATACGAAGAACTGTTGAAGCTTCTACACCAGGCTTGGAGACTGATGCCTTCGTTGTGAACCGACCTCCAAGATCTTTTCCGGGACAAATGAGTTTTACATGTGGGTATTCTTCGCTACATTAATAACGCTTAGCATCCATATTGCTTTTCATAAGTATTAATAGTTTTAAAAGAATCCGAGCTCCCAGACGGAAGAAGTGTCGCCAGGAAGTTAGAACGGGTATTGGGTCTTCATTTAAGAGGAGAGGCTGGAGTTGATTACAGAATTTCGGTTTATCACACTGGAGGTGATGGTGATTTACACATTGATGCATTTCGACCACCAAACCTACGCAATCAGCCATACTTTTTTGCCAACAGATTAGGGACGCTAATTGTTTATGTAAGATTAAATAAGACGAAAACTTTGTGTTAAGTAATTATGTAAATATTTGTGAAACCAGATGGGTGACACAAAACTCGGCGGAGAAACTGTATTTCCAGATTTGGGCCTAAAAGTTAGGCCTCTACGGGGCTCTGGTCTATTTTGGACACACTACAAGAGAAATGGTAAAATTAACTGGAAGTCGTGGCACAAACCGTGTCCCACTGTTCTTAGATCGCGATGGTTCATGTCTATTTTTGTGATGCAAACTGAAAATATGTTCAAGCACAAGTGTACTCTTAACCCGGATGAATAATTGTCCAGTTGCATGTGTATTTTAATAAATTGAATTTGTTTTTTTGTATGATTTATAAAGAATTTTAATTTGGGCAGGCCAGATGTTAATTATGTGTTTTACAATATCTTTTGAATAAAGCGTAAAGTGAGTATTGGCAGATATCCACCATCACCAATAAAATTTACTCTTTGCCTTCACTCGTTTAAAAAATGAAGTAATCATTCGCATTCACTATCGTACTTAAGGTGACGTTTGATTCTGTCCACGGCTCGAGTGTGACGATTTTTTAAATAATCACGACAGCAACCATTAATAAATAATACTCTTAGGTGAGATAAATTTTATGTTTTAATTAGAACCGAAATAATTTTCTATTATTTAAATACATTAATGAACCAATGACAATTATCAATTAGCTTCGGGAATTCTCAAAATTTTGAAATATCGGAATTTTAAATTTTATTTTTCCTAGTTATAAATTCAGAAAATTAATTCTTCTTTCTATCCTGAACCTACAAACTAACCAACTAATTTTCCTTGATGTTCCTCACAAATTTTGGTCATTTGAACCTTAACCAGAAGAGCGGTTAATATTTACTAATTTTTCTTTACTTTTCACTTGCTTTCAGAATGTATATTATATATTAAAAAATATATATCATGCAATTATTTTTATCCTCATTGGAGCGATGATAAATTATCTATGAAACTCAAATGTGATAAAATTAAGTAATGCTGCGACAAATTAAAATTACAGATAATCATAATCTAGATAAAGTTATTGTGAAGGTCATCACAATATAACTTTTATCTTATTGAGTGTCATGTAATATCATAACTGGATCTCAAGCCAGGAAATTACGTCGATTTTAAACATTATTTTGGGCGGGTTATCCGAACCATAAGTTTGACCTTCGATAACGCCGTGAATGTGTCGATGTTGTCACACATGCCGAAATTTGATTTTGACGTTTTTCGTCATATTTTTGACAGTTTTAACAAAATTCTGTATTTTTTAAAACAATATAATGGGATAGATATTTAGGTTTGAACAGTTTATGGTACCAATTTTAGCCCCCGAATGACGGCGCGCCGGCGCCGCCGAGTATTTTGAGAGCGCCACGCCGCCGCCGAAAATACGACGGCGTGCCCGGCGCGCCGCCGCCGAAAATACGACGGCGTGCCCGGCGCGCCGCCGCCGAAAATACGACGGCGTTCCCGGCGCGCCGCCGCCGAAAATACGACGGCGTGCCCGGCGCGCCGCCGCCGCAGAAGATTTTTGACCCTCGCGCCGCCGCCGCCAAATATTGCTCGGCGTCGGGCTCTGCACCAGACATGACCTAATATTGTTTCAAAATAACGTGAACAAACACGCCTTGGTGAATATTCTGAAAAAATATGTCAAGTCAGTTACTTGCAAAAATGATGGAAACACTCATGCAAAATAATTCCATCTCCAGTATCCACCATATTTAGACAGATGGAACAATCGAACTCCTGCGTGGCATAAAATAAGTCAGATTGTTGGATTTGTTTCTCCAATTTTTTGTCCTCGTTGTTGTCCATGATAGATATTTTGGGTGGTGGAGCAGATTCCAGAGAAATTTGGATAGCAACTGAGGCGTTGGATTCAGCGACTTCGTTATCTAGGATTAGTGTGAAGTTAGCCTATCCTAGAGGATAGGATGGGGCTAGAAATAGCCATCCTAGAGCCGATTCGGCTTATTCGGCTATTTTCATCCTTATTTATCTAGGGGCGCACCAAAATCTAAAAATTGACCGTAGGGAAGTAACAAAATAACTTGCGAGGCTTCCTCAACGGTAACAATCTCAAAATTGGAGATGGTCATGTTACGTATAAATTGCGATTTTAATTAATTAAAATGTCAATTATTTAAATTAAGAAAATTAATTACTAATTTATATTCTGACAGATATTATTCAAGCTGCTCCAACGAGGAATGACTGAGCCCAGGGGTAAACACAAATATGGTTGTCTATTGGATTGGTTCTGTCTTTGTTGTTTTGTTAGACAAAGACCTTTCTCTTTCCACCTGGCCCTTCAGTACACTTTAAGAGCGTAAGTGAGCAATACTGCACTGGATATAAGTTGCGGAACTGAGGTATAACGGAGTGGGAGGGTGTGCATGCATATTTTTCTTTGTTGCCCATGCCGTCAGCATGCAAACTACCATATTATTGACAATTTCAACTCTGAAGGTTTTTGTGCATGA